GATCGCTGCAGGTTTCCAATTCAAGTGTGATCAAAACGCAAATCGTGCAGCTGTATTGCAATATTCTCCATGCAGCTATCTCAATTCACAAGTGGAGTGCATGCAATTGCACAAGAACCAAATGACTACTTTTCCTCGCAACGAAGCTCAAGCTGACTTCACTCCTTCTTTAATCTCTTCAAATCTTTCAACCCATTCTGCATCATTACGAGCTGCTTACTGCAACCTGCTTACTGCATTCCGTCATGTTCCATGCAGGACGCGGTTGGTGGCTTAAATCTTTTGCTATATAAATATACAGTTTGCCACAATTCAACAAACATGACAAAGATTTCAACCTCCATTATAATTGACGCGCCTCCTTCAAAAGTAAAGGAGGTATTCCTTGATTTTAAATCGTATCCCTCATGGAATTCGTTTGTGACATCAATAAAAGGTGACTCACAAGAAGTAGGGTCAATCCTTAATGTGGAGATTACGCCTCCAGGTAAAAGTAAACAACAATTCAAGCCAAAGATTGTCGAGAATTCTGATACCAAATTTGCCTGGGTGGGAAGTCTTGGTTCTGAATACATATTTAAGGGTCATCACCAATACGAGTTCATAAGTGTTGAAAATGGAACCAAAACCAAACTTGTTCAAAGTGAAGATTTTTCTGGAATTCTTAGTTCCCCTTTACTTTATTTGGTTAAGGCCAGCACACTTAAGGGTTTCGAGAATCTGAATGAAGATTTGAAGAAGAAGGTTGAGAGTTCGTGATAAATTTGGGATATAATGTTTTGTGAATGATTAAAGATTAATGTAATAAAGGTTGTAAATTGGTGATGAGAGATGTAAATATGTATCAAGTATGTAATTGTGTATCATGTATGCAAATATGTATCACGTATGCACTCATGTATCATGTATGCAATTATGCGTCAATTACGCAATGCACCATGTATGAAATTCATGATTAGCGTATGTACATCTCTACACACTGCATTAAACAATCCAAAACATCCAAAACTTTTTATTAATTTGAGTATATTAGAAACTTTTCAAGTCTCAATTCTCAAATTTTGCAAAAGTTGCAAAATTCTACATTTACACAAATGGTTGTGTTCAGCAATCTTGATTCGGGAAATGGATGAAAAGAGAGGAATTAGAAACGGAAAGAAAAGTAAACAGAAAGTATTACGAAAATAATAGACAAGAGAAAATGAAGGAAACAGAAAGAATAAGGATCTAATTGAGTATAGAGATTGCAAAAGTAAGCTGAACGCTGCGATAGCAATTGTCAGGTGCTTTACTATCAAATCCACGATTTTTCACCACTCGAAATTTGGCACAATTTTTGTCGTATACATTTACTTCGAGCCTGAGCTTCACAGGGTACAATTTCAATCACAAATGATGGAGCAAATGACTGAAGAAACTGAGTGGGAAGATTGGACTGAAGAAACTATGCCCGAAAATCTGAGAAACGATATTGGGGTGAGAGCGTTATTCTTGACTTTTTTCCTGTCAGGTTCCGGCTGGTTTCTTCCCAGGCCACAGGGGGACAATGGTGAGATTCCGGGTTATCTCTGGTTGTATTCTGCAGCTTTTCATGTGATCAGTATTGCAATATGGATAGAAATCTTAGTCACTTCCATTCAAAAAAAGGAGTCAAAGAGAACGATTGAAACACATTTGATTATACTTGGTGTAAGCTTTCTTTCATCATTTGCGTTTTTCCTTTACTTTCACGGAGAAAGCTAATACAACCAAGATTGTTCGTTTTACAGCAAGGAAAATTGAATATGTTTTTAGTAATTGTATATTACTGTAATTCCTCTACCCGTATTTGAGTCGTAAAAGAAAACCATGCGGCTCGCTGGGATACGAGGTTGCACGAGAAAAAGGAAACTAGAAGTATGAGGAAAATTAAGAAGAATGACGGAAACGGAAAGAATAATGAAACGGAAAGTATGAGGATCGAATTGAGTATACATATTGCAGAAGGCTGGAGCTGCAATCCCTTAAAATTATTTGACCTGCGGAAGCTTCGACTTTATTTCACGTTGGTTGTAACGTTTACTTAAAACCTGAGACTTTATCACAGTTTACCTTAATTTCAATCACAATGGTGGAACAAATGACTGAAGAAACTGTGGGGGAAAATTTGACCGAAAATCCGAAATTTGATATTTGGGGGAGAGCGTTTTCTTTGACTTTTTTCCTGTTAGTTTGCGGCTGGTTTCTTCCCATTCCGGCATCAGTGGAAAATGAGGTTCCGGGTTATATCTGGTTCTTTTCTGCTGCCTTTCAGGTGATCGGTACTGCAATATGGATAGCCTTTGTCACTTCCTTTGAAGATAACGAGTCAGAGAGAACGAAAGAACATAACTCCATTGTACTTGTTATGTGCTTTCTTTCATTATTTGCGTTTTTCATTTGGTTCTGCGTAGCAAAATAACAACTACAAGATTGCTTTACATTATTTATTCAGCAAGGAAAATTGAATATGTTCTTTAGTAATTGTATTTTAGACTGTCTAAAACAAATGGAAGATCAAATCTGCGACCTGGGTTCCTCATGCATGATGTGCTTGATGTAGGGCATAAATGGGTCAAGTGACCCATTTTGAAATAGAAGATCAAAGATTAAACAGCCAGCTTTGCTCTCGTCTTTGAGTCGTAAAAAACCGTGCGGCTCGCTGGGAGAAAAAGGAAACAAGAAGTGAGGAAAATTGAGAAGAATGATGGAAACGGAAAGAATAATGAAACTGAAAGTATAGGATAGAATTGAGTATAAATATTGCAGAAGTAAGCTGGAAGCTGCGATACACTGCGATAGTAATTTTAGGGTGCATTTGACCTGCGAAGCTTCGACTTTATTTCACAGCTCTTGGTTGTAACGTATACTTAAAACCTGAGCTTCACAGTTTACGTTTGATAATTTCAATCACAATGGTGGAACAAATGACTCAAGAAACTACGTCCAAAAATCTGAAAAAGTGTATTAGGCTCTCGCAGGAGACAGCCGTAGGGTTGACTCTTTTCCTGTTAGTGATAGGCTTTTGTCTTCCCATCATCTATAAAGATCCGGTGAAAGATCACGATGGAAAGATCCGGGTTATATCTGGTTCTGTTATGCAGCTTTTAATGTGTTCGGTACTGTAATATGGTTAGAACCTGTATACCATTCCTTTGAACCTATGGAGTCAAGGAGAAGGCCAAGTGAAGAAGAACGATTGAGGAACTTTATTATGCTTGGTCTCTGCCTTGCATCATATTTAATCATGTTCTTTGTGTTCCGTTCACGAACGTAATACAACTACAAAGGTTCTTTACATTTTTTAGGACGTTTTCAATAGAATCCGCAACCAATTTCAACTAGTATATTTTCGGGGACATATATAATTTTCGCACGGACGCTACGGACGGAGGCATATAGGTTAAGGGCATATATTTTTTGTGGTCTGCCAGAATTTTATTGGGTTGCAAGTACACATACACTTATACAAGTACACATGCACATTAACAACACCCATTCGCTGTAATTGAGTACATTGACCAAAATTATTTTTCGCAACCATTTTGTTTCGTACAAATCTACCCTAAAGTTTCCTTCAAAAAACATATTCTTGAATCTTGCTTTTATCCTTTGCTTACACTATCTTACCTATAGGAATTATAAAATTGCAGTAGACTGGACGCTGCAATAGTAATTTTAAGGTGCTTTGACTTGCTACAATTTCTTTCACGGCTCTGGATATTCTTTTACTTAAACCTGAGCTTCGCAGTTTACCTTTGAGTATTTCGTTCATGGTGAGACAATTGACTGAAGAAACTGTGGGGACTGAACAAACTATGGCCGAAAATCTGAAAACCGAAAATCTGAAAAAGCAAGTTAGTCTCCACGAGAATACCGTGTGTCTTTTGACTTTATGCCTGTTACTTTGGGGCTGTTCACTGCCCGGCGCCGTGGCATTTAAGAAAAATGTTGATAAAGAGATCGCGAGTTATGTCTGGATATCTTCTGCATTATTTCTTGTGTTCGGTACTGGAATATGGATAGACATTTTAATCGGTTCCATTAAGTATAAGAAGCCAAAAGGGCTGATCCATGCCAGCATATTTATGGTTTGTTTGTATTTTGCAGCATGTTTATCGGTTTTCATTTGGTTCTGTTTATCATAATACAACTACAAATTGTTCATGTAAATTACTTATATTGTTGGTCAGTGAAATTGAATTTTCTTTAGTTTTTAATTATGTAGAGGACCACTACGCTTATAATTGACTTTTATGAATTAACCAGATTACCCTAGCTCGCTCTAATTTCTTTAACAGCTTGCAAGTACCAGTAGCTTCTAGGAGCCGGCCAATGGGAGTCATAATGAACCCCAGGAAGATGGTCATAATCTCTAGGTCTGTAGGTATCTCCCCAAGCCTCGTCATCGTAAAACTTTCCGTTTTGGTATCGTCTTTCGATGAAATAGTCCAAAAGTTTTTTGTATCTTGGCTCGGGAACAATTTTAGTGAGCTAATTCAATTTCTTGGTATACCCTTCTACTTTTCCATTTTCGTCACCGAAAGTCTCACAAAAGAGGTCCACCTGCAAGGCATTCAATTATTACATTGGAACCAGTAGCTTTAGTATGCCACTGCCGCCTCAATTAAACGGACAGTAGAGTTCATGTTCCTCAGCAACGTTTTTTTCTCTCGGTTGGCTTGACTTAGTAAGAGTTGAGATAGCCAACGGCTGCTGTAATCTCATTTCCTCGGTATACTTTGCAAAGCAAACTTCTTCCATAAACTGGCAATATCCGAGTCCAGAAAATACGGGGCTCATTTCCAATTGAAGTCAAAAAGTCCAAGCGTCCTGTTTCATGAAATAGTTTGTACATGGACATTTTAATTCTTTCACTCCAAAGTGATCTTTAATCAACCCGTAATTTTGGCGAAGTTTAAGAGATTTGAGGGGTATGCCATTACATTGTCCCCCCTGTTCTTCAACACTTCTCCATCGGGTTCATATCTCGCAATCCTTTGCAACCGATTTCGCATTGGGACTCACATATGCATGATCGTGTTGGGGTGCAGATCCGCTCCGAGAATGTGGGGTACGTCGCACTGATGCGGCTGCAAACTCCACAATGCTATATATATAAATGGACACTTTTCTGATGTTTTCTCCAATACAATGCTTTCAATGGATGAAAAGATCAAGGTGAACCACGTAGAAGTGGTAGAAGACACTAACTCTCAAGTTTCTTTCACCACCAAGGAAAATACGTTATTGCAAGATGCTAGGATAGCTACCGAAGAAGAGCATGCTTTACTGGCAAAACAAGCTCTTAAAGACTACAAACCTGCCATTTTTTGGTCCCTAGTTATGAGTGGAACGATTTTGATGGAAGCTTATGACAATATTCTTATTCTGTCTCTCTTCGCTTATCCATCTTTCCAAAAAAGGTACGGGAAAGAGATCTCTCCCGGGAAGTATGAGATCACTGGACCCTAGCAGAGTGCTTTGGGATGTGGAGATAGTATTGGAACAATCATTGCATTGGCATTCAATGGAGTTTTGGTTGAAAAATATGGACACAGAAAAATCATCATTGTGAACTTGTTCTTCATGGCTGCGTTCATTTTCGTCACTGTATTTGCCAGAAATGTCGAGATGCTTTTTGTTGGTCAAATTCTCAATGGCTTTCCCTGGGGGTTCTTTTGCGTCATTGGGTTGATTTATGCTTCCGAAGTTGCCCCATTGCCTCTTCGTGGTTTCTTATCGGCGTACGTTATGATGTGCTGGGCTACTGGTGAAATCATTGCTGCGGCGGTGTTGAAAGCTATGCTTAACAACACTACTCAATGGGCTTATAGGTTGCTTTTTGCTATACAATGGGTCTGGATACCTCCCAATTTTATTTTGACTTTACTTTGTCCTGATTCACCCTACTGGCTCATTCGTAAAGGAAGGGTAGAAGATGCAGAAAAGTCATTGAAGAGACTTTCATCGAAGGCTGTTCACCCAAACATTAAGCGGAAGTTGCAACTTTTAATCGATACCAATGAATTGGAATTGAAACAAGCGTCTGAGTTCGATGATCGCTTCAAAGGTTGGAAATCATATGTCGAGTGTTTCAAAGGTCCCAATAGAAAGAGAACAGAAATTGCTTGTATGTCCCTTGCAGGGCAAGTTTTGGGAGGTAACAACTTTGCTTACTCTCCTTCATACTTCTTCTCCCAGGTGGGATTGAATAGCACACAAACGTACAACTTGAATTTAGGTATCACTGGACTTGCGTGGGTTGGTAATTTCGTTTCGTGGTTCGTTATTGCAAAAGTTGGCAGACGAAAGATCTACATTACTGGTATTTCCTTTATGACTATCTTTCTATTACTAATTGGAATCTTACAGACTCCAGCAGACAAAAACCCACTGGTAGCATGGGCACAAGTTGGTTGCATCTTTGGATGGGTTGTATCATTTGTCTTGACTCTTGCACCCTTAGCGTACACCATTTTGGGCGAGGTCTCTAGTACCAGGTTAAGATCCCAATCGATTGCAATTGGAAGAAATGCCTACACTCTCTGTCAGTTGACGGCTCAGGTGGTACAGCCATATTTCATGAATCCTGGTAATTTGGGATTGAAAGGAAGGACAGGTTTCATATGGTTCGGAACCAGCTTTCTTACTCTCATATGGGCAATTTTCCGTCTACCAGAAACCAAAGACCGCACCTACGAGGAATTGGATATCCTTTTTGAGAGAAAAGTTCCACTTACCAAGTTTGCTAGTTACAAACTTGATATTAATGATGAAATGAAATGTTGATTTTAATCCGATTCGGTATTGCCTGATTTGCGTATTAGTAATAACTACATGAGAGCTCGTACGAAATATATTTCCCCACATTCTCACCGAAAAAAATCTCGTTCCGGAATCTCAAAAGACAAGTCCAAAAAATGGGGAACAAACAATAGCTGGAAATGCCTAAATCTGAAATTAAAAGCATACAAAACACTATAAGGGCTAGATACTCAAAGCCTGTTGCTTTGTACTTAACTTGATCACGAATGAGAGAAATGACCACACCACCAATGGAAGAAATGACTATAATAAATCCGCCGAAACTCTGGCCGAAACTCTGGAAAGCTGGAGCGTAGGTGGATATAACGGTAATGTTGGCTTCTGTAGCCTTCAAGGTTGCAGATGGTATTCCCAATCTCTTGAAAATTCGGACTCTGTCTGGTCCGGAGCGCAGTCGCTTATGAAGGATGTACAGTAAATTGTTGTGGGGTGATTGCGGGGAGCGAGTAGGAAAGATTCCTCAACTCTTATTATTTTGGTATGTGCATTGTGACACGTGGTTTGGCAATGATCCTCCAACCACAGAACCAAACTTTATTTGTCCCTTTATTGCAATTGGCAATTGTTAGCTGCGTGTCATGAATAATGCTAGTTCTGACTATCGATAATTGCTGGTTTTCATCTTTAGAGAACAATTTCTTGACATGATGAAATCAAACTTGTCAAGTCATTGTACTCGATTGGCCCTTTACGGATTCTAGTCTAGAAGCTTGTGAATGCAACTAAGCGATTAGAACTAGATCCTGGTAGACTAGAACCCACGGGCATTTAAATGTACTTGTATTGAGCAGATGGCTGAGCAATAAATGTGTTTGTGCAAATTGGAACTTGTATTGATAAAGAGAAAGCTGCTTCGCGAATTTGCAGCCATTTTATATCGCTGGTGTACGGGTGTACGGCTGTACTGATAAGACAAGAAAAAATTACAGAAAGTATGAGGAAGTAATGGAATGAGAATGAAGAATACGGAAAGTATAAGAAAGTGTGTAGAGAAGATAAACGTAGGTTGGACGCTGAATAGTAATTTTAAGGTGCTTTGACCTGCGGAAGCTACAACTTCTTTTCACGACTCTAGGTTTAGCAGAAGTTTGTCGAATACGTTTACTTATAGACTGGGCTTCGCAGCGCACCTTTGATAATTCCGATCACAAATGGGGGAAAAAGTGGCTGAAGAAACTTTGGGGGAAAGTATGACTGCAGAAACTGTGGAGGAAAATATGACTGAAGAAACCGTGGAGGAAAATAAGACTGAAGAAACTGTGGCCAAAAATCTGGAAACTGATTTTATGCTCGCGCACCAGGCAGTATTTGTTTATTTGACTTATTTCCTGTTATTTTGCGGCTGGGCACTTCCCGGATTCTCTCGGGGACCTGATGATAGGATTCCGGGTTACATCTGGTTCTTTTATGCAGCTTTTCAGGTGATCGGTATTGCAATATGGACAACCGTCGTAATCGCTACCATTCAATATAGTAATTCACAGGTAAGGATTAGGTTGAACTTGTATATGCTTGGTATGCACCTTATTTCATGTCTTGGGGTTTTCATCTGGTACTGCTTGACAGCGTTATACGTCTACAGAGATTCTTTGAATCACATTGTTCGTTTCTTAAAGTAGTAGCTGGTCAGCGAAATTGAATATAATTATGTTTAGTATTTTTATGTAGTATCAAGATCCAGAAGCATAGTAGGGACCCTTTCGGTCTATAAGTGTTTCAAAGGTTGGAGACTATAGCTTTCCTACTTGTAATGCTGCAACCGTGCGGCTCGCTAGGCTCAAGATACGAGGTTTCATGCATACGAGTATGCGGCTTTTCCGAGACATGTTGTGGGGAAGGTTCACTACTACTCTTATAACTGACATTTTTTACAGTAGAGTATAAATCACTTTGATTGCTTTTGAATACTTGAACCAAGCGAGATCAATGAAATTTCGAGACATAATATTTCAAGTATTCTGCATTTAATATTTCAGAAACTCTGGCCGAAACTGGATGCAGGTTGAATGCAAGTATGCAATTCATGATTAGCGTATGCACATCTCATCAAACAACCAAAACAACCAAAAATTTTCAAAAATTTTTGTATATGAAACCTTCTTCCAGTCAATTCTCAAAATTTTCAAAAGTTGCAAAATTCTTCATTTCTAAAAATTATAAAGAGTACCTGAATTCCGGGTTTTCTTTGTCGGTCAAATCTGAAAACTCAATGTTTTCCGGAACCACATATTTGCTTCCCAAAGCTTCTTTTCGAGCATCACGATCAGTGTTTCTCTTATTATAGATGAAAAGCAACGACATCAAACAAAATGTGCCCACAGCAAACGACACCAACATGGCGGTTTTTGCACCCACGTATGGCGCCGTAGTAAAAGTTTGAGGACCCACAATGTTACCAACACAATAACCAATAAAATAAATGGTGGAAACTGTAATCTTCTTTGATGAGCCAGCAACGTTAGAAGATACAATAGAAAAGACACAAGATAAAACAGCAGTTGCCATATAGAAAGATAGGTAACCTGCTAATTTGGAACCTCTGTGGGTTGTGAAATTGAGCAAACACATCCCAACAAAAACGAGAGCATTGACGATTATTGCAGCCACCAACCGGCGGTTCTTCAAAAATTTGTAACATACCCAAGCAACAAAAGGAGGAAACACAACGTCGATTCCTCCACCAGGCATATTCATCAACATGGATTGACCGGTTCCGAATCCAAAATCTTGGTGCAATAAAATACTACCAAAGTTGTTGTAACCACCATTGGCCAAAGCATAGGTAAAACCATAAATGAAAAGAATATAGCTAGGAAGATCAGTCAATGCTTCGATAACCTGGTTTTTTTTCCAGTGGTGGTTTCCAAAACCTTGTTGGTTTCCTCTGATTCTTTGGACGATATACTTCTTTTCGGTTTCATTCAAGAACCAAGCTTTTGTGGGAATATCAGGAATATGGATCAACGACAAAAATCACCAAAAGAATAGTGATACAAGCAGTAATGATGTAAAACAATCTCCAAGAAGCAAACGAGTGGCCAGTGATTCCTCTATGGGTGTACAATCCGTAAGCGGTTCCAGCACCAATAAGTGTACCCAATCCTTGCAAACCAACATATAGGCACGATCTCATGAATTGTTCTTCCTTTTTCCACCATTGCGACACCAACATCATATAAGCAGGGTTCATCATTCCTTCAAACATACCGAGAATAAACCTCAAAACCAAAAAACCAGCGGTGTTCTGTGTCGCAGCGTGAAGCATCAATACGACTCCCCAAAGAACAACTGCGGTTCCTAGTGCTTTGGAAAGTGGAAACCGCTGGAGAATCATCGTACCAGGGTACTCAAACACCATATACCCGAAATAAAACGTACTTCCAACCCAAGAGTACTGCTTGGAAGTCATATTCAAATCAGCCTCGAACCCCATGAGAGCAGCATAACTATTGGTGGTCTTGTCCATCAACTGGCACGACATAAGAAGGGCAATAAGCGGCAACAACATAAAGTCGACCTTGCGTACCAACTTTTTTTCGATGGCGGGATCGATTTCCACTTCTTTAATGTCCATAACATATTCCATGGCATCGTCCACATCGGTTTTGTCGATGACAACTTCTCTTCCGCCTGGAGAAACCACTGCCGAAATCACATTGTCCACGTCGTCATATTCGCCGTCACCCACACTGACGATATTGTGGATTGAACTGGTTTTCTTTGTAGAGTCTGGCATTCGTAAAGGGTTGAATATTTCTGACTTCAAAGAATTCTGACTTAGCTCTTAAATACTGAGACGCTAGTTACGATAAGAACGGATCCAAAGCTCAGATCATAGCGTCGAATCTTGCCGTCGTGATTATAATACAGAGCTGAGTCAGATAAAGAGGTTGAATACGGAAACTGCGAATGTTTCCGCCGTTATCGCACCGCAGCACCAGGGCTGCGAACCAATGCGTCTACGGCTTCCGGATCGGGCAAGTGCCAAATCTCCGGTCCATAGTGTCCATATTGCCAGCTCCATCTCATATACTTGACTTCGTGTCCAGAAATGCAATGAGTAGTATTGGTGAAAAAGATGTATCGGTTTCGGTCGAGACTTTGGATGGGGTACTACCAAAAAATTTCACCATAGACGAATCGGGACTTCTTGTATTTGATCCAGACAGCCCTCAAAAGCCAGCGAATTGGTCTTGTCGCAAGAAATTTGCCCACACTGCGCTATTTGGCATGGTGACGTTTGGAGCGCAAATGAACTCCACCACCACTTCGGCTGAAAAATTTACTGAATTGTTGAACCAAGAATTTGGAATTTCCAGAGAAGTCGCTTTACTCACCAGCACTCTCTATATCTTGGGAATTGCCTTTGGTCCAATGGTATTTGCGCCGTTATCTGAAGTCTACGGAAGAAAATTCGGCGTTTTGGTCCCCACGCTCATTTCCAGTGCATTCACCTTTGGGGTCGCGACCAGCTATAATGTCCCCAGTTTGATGATTTTCAGATTTCTTTCGGGATTTTGTGCTGGAGCACCCATAGTTAGCGCCGGGGGAGTTTTGGCGGATTTGTATCCAGACACCACTGTTCGAGGTCAATATTTTGCATTTTATGGTCAATTGGTCAATGGTGGTTCCAGTATGGGTCCCATAGTTGCATCACTTATGATGTACAGCAATGACAGTTTGGGAGCCTGGAGAATCCCGCAATACTTTTCGGGACTTTTGAGTCTTGTGCTATACTTTTTCTGTGAATTTGTCTTGGACGAAACCTATACTCCAGTCTTAACCAAAAAAGAAGCCAAGAAAATTAGAATCAGTTCCGGCGACTGGAAAGTGCATTGCCAGCTCGATATGTGGCAGTTGGACCTAAAGGACGTGGCCACGAAGCATTTGGTTAGACCATTCGCCATGTTAATCACACCAATTGTGTTCGTGATCGTCTTATTTGCCAGCTACGTTTATGGCGTTTTCTACATTGTTATCACCACCATGCCAGCAGCCTTCACCATGACCCGAGGCTGGAAGGGCACAATTGCTTCACTCCCAAATATAGCGCTTTTCATTGGAGTATGCTTTGGAAACATATCTTCGGTTCTTTTGGCTGGAAGGAAAAATCATGGAAATGCTTCTGTGCCAGAAGACAGGTTTTTACCATTGATGTACTTTGGTTGGTTGATGCCTGCTGGAATATTCCTCTTTTCCTGGACCTCGACCGCCAATATCCACTGGATTATTCCCTGTTTGGGTATCGTAGCCATTGGATATGGGTTCATTATCATCTTCCAAGGCTGCCTAAACTACTTGGTGGATACATACACCAAATACGCCGCTTCTGGAATCGCTGCAAACACATTTATGAGATCAGTTTTTGCGGCTTCTTTTCCTTTATTTGCCAAACAGTTGTTTGAAAACTTGGGTGTCCATTGGGGAGGATCGTTGATCGGGTTTATTGCATTGGGAATGATTCCCATTCCATTTTACTTTTACAAGTATGGGGCAGCTATTCGCGCCAAAAATCCATATCAGGGAATATAGAACGAATTAAAAAAAGAGTAGAAGATAACTGACTCTGATTCATAATTCAGACAATGAGAATATCTTTGGCTGCAAATTCCCGTTCTATCAGGTGCGCGATAGCGGAACATTCAGCACCTGCCTAATCGGGACTATCATCATCGACATTTAAGATAACCCAAAAATATCGTATTGAACTTAAAAGTTTAGAAAACACATAGCGGCCCAGAAACTCAGAATGCCTCCTCCCAGTAAGAAAGATAAAGTGATTATTGTTGGTGCCGGAGTTTATGGACTTTCCACGGCGTTATCTTTCTTGAAAGATGGCTTTGAAGATGTCCATCTTTTCGACAAAAACGACTACACCAGCCAAAGTTACAGCTGGTTCAAAGGGTGTGACAGCGCCTCTTCGGACATGAACAAAATCTTCCGGTCTTCTTATGGCGACAAAACCCATTATCAGAAAATGTCACTTGCCAGTAGAGACGTCTTTCTCGAATGGAATCGCATGATTGCAGAAGAAGGATTTGAAGGAGGTGAGCCAGTGTATATCAATTCGGGAAACGTGCACTTGACAGACCAGCACGAGCTTCCTGACTTTGAAAGGGAAACTTTGGAGAATATGCCAGATGGAACCATTGACATTAACGACCCAAGGGCCACCGAGAAAGCTTTGAAAAAAGGTTTAAGTGAAGACTCGGTCGACCCATTTTTGTGTAAGAGCCGCGGAATCAAGCTACAAGGCATCCTAGATACCACTGGAGGCACAATGGTTGCGGATAAAATGTGTAGATGGGTTCTTCATTTGTGTGCTCGAACTGGAGGTTCAAGATTCAAATCTCATTTGGGTACTGAGGTCCAAGAGTTGTTGGTGGAGTACAACCAGTCTACAGGTTCCAAGAAGTGCGTGGGAATCAAGACAAAAGATGGAAATTGCCATTTTTCAAAACTTGTGATTTGTTTGATGGGTGCCTGGACAGCCCTAATACGTCCCAGAAGCAGGTGAAAAAGTCGAAGCGACTGGGGGAACTGTTGCTTTTGTAAAGATTACCGATCCTAAGCTTTTGAAGCGTTTTGACCAAAATAATTTTCCTTCTTGGACCTACAAAGTGCGGGATGGTGCCATGGGAGGTTTATATGGGTTTCCAGTGAGCGCTTCGGGTGGATATATGAAAATTGGATACAGAGGAATTAAGTGGACAAACCCTTCCAATGGACTCAATTCCAAGGTAAAAACCAAGTACACACCAGAAAGTGAGAACAATGTTCCATTGTTTGGCTTAAAGTTGATAAAGAATTTTGTCAGAACCCATCTTCCTCAAATCGACAAAATTGAAGCTACAAGATTATGCTGGTATTCAGACACAGAAGACAACGATTTTCTCATTTCGTACTGCCCATACTACGAAGACAAGTCGTTATTTGTGGGCGCTGGAGATTCAGGACATGCTTTCATGATGTTTGGAGTGTTGGGCGACCATATCAAAGACATCATTTATGGAGAAGAAAATCCATTTTTGACAGACTTGTTTTCGTGGTCCAGAAAAAGAGAGCCTCTAAACCGGATCAATTGGGGCTTGGAGGATCCCAGAGCTTTACAAAATGTCAAGATGGCTACTCCAAGAGACTGGTATATCGGTCCTGAAGAAGAGTTAAGTAAACTATAATAGTTGATAACGACTCTCAGAATCATTCAATGACACTCATATATTAACCAGATCTATTGCTTTGGACCTCTTCGTAGTTTTTTAATTGTTATACTCGATTTCTTGTAATTTTTCTATTCTGTTGCTCTCCTCCACACTTCGTGCTTCGTTATTCACTCAAAGTACTTGTCGTCTACCGGTCTCTCTTCTGGAACTGAAACTATGTTGCATCCCTCCTTCAACCTAAACTGCACCACCTTCAACAATTCATACACAACAGATAACACCGGAGTGTCCACTTTCAACTCTTTTGCAACCGTCAACAAATTACCCAAAATCACTTCCAATTCAATGGGGTTCCCTTTTTTGACATCAACAAGCATAGATGGTTCAAACCAATCGCCATCGTCGGAATGAACCACCAAATTGATCACATCTTTGGGAAGGTCCACTCCATCAGCCTTGGCAATGGCAATAACTTCACGCATGGCAGGAATAGAAACCGCTTCCAAACCGCCCGAAAGCTGGAGCCTTCCGGTATCCACACCGGTCAAAGCCGCTACGGTATTCAAGGATGCATTGTAAACCAATTTTCTGTATCGATACCACTTGGCATCAGGAAAATAGGTACAGTCAATTTTCTCGTTTTGGTAGAGCGAGATAAACTCCATCGTTTTTCCTTCTTGTGCCTCTTTAGAGAGGTTCGGGTTTTCAAAGTAACTGATCAAAGACTTGTCTTTTTGGGTTTGAGTGATTACACCATTATGATTGTGAGAACCAATGTGAGAAACACCGGAAATACACACATTTTTTGGGTACTTTTCAACAAAAGGTCTTCCCAAATCGAAACCATTCTGCATCAATACCACTGCTGTCTCCTCTGGAGTGATAACCGGGGCAGAAAGGTCCTCAACACGAACAATATCAGGCAAATTCTTTGTCGCAATGACGATAAAGTCGTATATATTGCCTGTTTTGGCCGCTTCTTCAACACTTTCGAAAACATTGTGTGGCTTCCAGTGTTCTATTTCACCGTAATCGACAGAATGGATGTTCCAACCAGCATTTTTCACTTTTTCGTAATCACGACGAACCACAACGTCGATATTGGCTTTGCCAACATAGTAGATTCCATAGGCAACAATTGTACCCACGCCTCCAGTACCAATTAGCAACACGTTTGGGTTTCGATTCTGACATGAACTATTGCAATACTGGTAATGTTTACCGTATTTATACTGATAACGTTCCGAAAGTGGAAACTTGCGACACCGGAAACTTACGACTTACCAATAAGATAAGGAAGGTTCCGCCTTATTGTTGTAACCAATACGTTACGAGAGCGTCATTAATCAACAATTGCATCGAAAGAGTCTTAATTCAAATAGCCTTGGAGATCACTTTCTCGAATCATTAAAGTATCAGTTCTCGCTCTCAATTTTATTAGTGTGCGATCGCGAATTGCTTATCAATTCAAATGCTGCCGCTCGATCTTTCGCATCTTCTATCTGAACAAGCCAAAGCGAGAAAAGGCTCCAAATTAAAATCGTGTGTTCACTACAAAAATGAGCCAAATTTTGGATTCCTAGCCGGTGGGTTGCCCTTGCCAAGTTACTTCGCGTGGGAAGCAGTCAGCGCCTCTACCAGAAAGCCCCCATTTGAAGGTGGTTTGAGTGCTATTTCCACCGCTGAAAATCAGCTATCTTTTACAGTTTCGCAGGATTCAACCGACCTAGACATTCCACTCTCGGCGTCGTTGCAGTATGCTGTAGCCATTGGCCCTGCTCCTCTTCGACAATTTTTGATTGAACACACCAAAGTGGTGCACAAGATCCCATACGAAGAATGGGAACTTGCCACTACTGTGGGCAACACGCAGTCGTGGGATGCTTGTATCCGTACCTTTTGCAATCAGGATGACTCAATTTTGGTCGAAAAGTACTCTTTTTCTTCAGCTATGGAAACTGCGGCTCTGCAAGGAATTCGTCTAGTTCCAATGGATGTCGACGAAAGTGGAATTCTACCGGAAAAGTTGGAATCAAAGTTGTTTAAAATGAAGGCTAAGGGCGAGAAATTGCCTAAAATAATCTACTGTATTCCTACGGGACAAAACCCTACTGGCATTTGTATTTCTGGTGAAAGAAGGAAACATATCTACGATATTGCGCTGAAATACGACTTGGTAATTGTTGAGGACGAACCGTACTATTTCCTTCAATTGGACCCGTATGTAGCCCCAGAAAAGAGAGGTTCCTCCACCAAGAGCTTGACCAATTCGGAATTTCTCGAGTCGATGGTTCCGTCATTTTTGAACTTCGATACCGAAGGAAGAGTGGTAAGGTTGGATTCTTTTTCGAAAGTGCTCGCTCCAGGTTCCCGTCTTGGCTGGATCACTTGCCAGAAAAAGCTCATGGAGAGATTTCTTCGCAACTTTGAATCCACATTCCAGACTCCATCTGGATTTTCTTCGTCTATCATCTACGGAACGTTATCAAGGTGGGGCCAGCAAGGTTACATCGAATGGTTGAAGGCATTGCGTGTAGAATACACCTGGAAGAGGAATTTGGCCATAGACTTTTGCCGCAAGTATCTACCTGAAGCTTTATCAAGGATCAATGCCCCGAATGCCGGCATGTTTTTCATCGTTTCGTTCGACACTTCAAAGCACCCTGAATTTGCAACAAAGTATAACAGTGATCCGTTGGCGGTTGAAGCGGCTATTTACGAAGCCACTATCGAAAATAAAGCCATTCTCGTTCCAGGCTCTTGGTTCGAAGTGAGAGAAAAAGACGAGGAACCAAGTACCGTTATCTTTTTCCGAGGCACATACGCTGCGACTGAGATAGATGTGTTGGAGAAGGGTATACAGAGATTCGGAAAAGCGGTGAGGGAAGTATTTTCCTTGCATGAATAGGCGAAAAATAGTTTGCTTATTGTTTAATTCAGGCTGAAATCGTTAGTATGCCAATAGATTAGCTGCAAGTAATTATAGAACAATTCTTCATTTGAGACTGAGTTGTTGAGATAAGGTTTATTGTCATAAACAATCGAGCTACTTTCAACTTGACTCTTTGCGTATTACTTCAACTGTCCTTTTCCTTGGCACTTCGTTTCCTGATTCTCAACCCGTCTTTCTTCTTTGAATCCTCCGGAAAAGTACGGCAAACCAATCCGCTGTAAAACCAGTCTATCATAGTAACAACATCATAAACCGGCAACCCCAATGCTTTCTGAACAGCTTTCGAGGTAGGAGGCATCTGAGTGCATTCAAAAACAAAAGCACCTATGGAACTGTCTTGTGAAACTGCCTTTTTTGCCAATTCTATCATTTCCGCTTCAAACCTTTCAATGACATACTGGCCACCTTCAATGATAATATTCTTCAATTCGCCCCCATCTTTGGCGCCATGGACAACAATTCTCTTCTGCATCGCTTCCGAGAGACCTACACCATCAAAGTGGGATTTTCCTAATTCTTTTTCGTCAAAAGTGAGCACGGCTACTTTCTTATTTGGAGGTAAAAATGCCAATACTGAAGGGATTTGTAAAAGGCTGCTCGATGCTAGCGGGATATTGATCTTGGATGCTAAACGGTCCTGAATCTGGGCGAGAAATCCACAGGACGTAATAACGCCAATTGCACCTTTCGCTTCTAGTTTGTTGCAAGCATCAACAAAGTTGTCAATTAAGGTTTCGTCCAACACCCCAGAAAACACAATATTGCGCACAGTAGCATTGTTCACTCTTTCGTGAACCAATGGGAAAACAAACGACTCTGGGTTCAATGGGTCTCCCGGCGGCCGGTGGATATCGTCGGTGTAATCAAGGCAAAGAGCACCTAGCGGAGGCAATTCCTGGGTTTGGGGGTACTTTGACATTTGGGTGAGAGTCTAGTGTACTAAGACTTAAGGAAGGATATGTGTGTCCACTATATTCAAAGCCGTTATTTGTCATTCTGTCTTATCAGTTGCCCATTTGGGTGCGAATTTTTCCGTTAGATCTGGTGCGGCGCGATAAGAAAATATCTGTCAATGCGAAAAGATCCGCATTTATCGTTCTTCAAGATTGGTCTAAACCAGCTCCTATAGGTTCTCGAAGGTCTAGAAGGCACCAGAAGTGAGATCCGTATGACTTACAACCAACTAAAGTTTAGAGTGGAATTACCCGAGGGTGAAGGTTTCCACCAAATCGACCAAAATCCTCACAAAGACAATAGTACTCGATCCGGTATCTCCAAAAAGCGGTCGGGAGGAAAGCACCAGATGGCTGCTTGCTCAGCTTGCAAGAAAAAAAGAAAAAAATGTGACGGAAAGTATCCGGTTTGCAGCGGTTGCGACAACTCCGGAACGGAATGTACGATTTACGATATCACCACCAGTCGTATAATTCCCAGAAACTACATCGAGACTCTCGAGGGAAAGCTAGCTGAGCTAGCTGATAAGCTCCAGCATTCAAAGGCGACAATTGAGAAATTGGAAGGACTTTTACAACACAATGAAATTTCTGAAGGTTCTCCACAGTCCTGTGAGCTCCCTATGCCTCCGACATTGATCCACAAGAACCAAGACTACAACCAACATAATCAAAAATACAAAAACTTGGAGTCAGAAATAGGGTATATTACCCTTGGTGTTGGGGCTGAATCGAGATTTATGGGTGATACTAGTGCCTTTTCCATTGCTAAAGCTATTACAAATTCCATTGATTACTACAAGAAAGAAAGCCGAACCGCAAGTCTGTTCACATTCAACGGTATATCTACTCCTCCAGAACCAGAAGAATTTGAGCCTCCATTTACCAAGCCATCTTTCAAAGCAGCCCAGCTATTCTTGAGCAGCTATAAAGTAATAGTGCAATGCCAGTATCCTTTCTTGGAATGGAAGTGGGTTGAAAAGTGCTTTCAAAGAGTTATGGAAAATGACTCAGAAGACCCAGAAGAGATGTTTTTCATCTACATGATCTTTGCTATCGGAGCCCAATTGTCCTCGAACAACAGCCGGTTCTCAACCCTAGCATATGTCAAGGTCTACTATAACAAAGCGATGGAGTTTATTGGGCCAATAATCGAGGTGAATACCATCAGAACCGTCCAAGCATATTTAATGATATCGGCATTTTCACAAAAAATGCCCGATGGTTCTTCCATATGGCAATCCACTGGTTTGGCGATTCGAACCGCCGTGGCTTTGGGGCTCCATAGACAGCCCTACCGTAATAAGGAGGACCAAAAGTTGGCCGAAGAAGCTAGAGCAAATCTCCAATTACGCTACAGAATCTTCTGGTGTGCCTATGGTATGGAAAGAATCAATGGCATTGTATTGGGAAGACCGTTTGGAATTTCTGACGTTGATATTGATGCGTTGATGCCGACGGAAAGTCCAGAAATAGCAGTAGCTTGTCATGTTTTCAAACTACGAAGAATCCAGTCGAGTATCTGCACCTTTGTCTACAAGCCAGTGGCTATCATGGATTCTTTCGAAGAGATAGACACCACCAGGGTCCAAATTGTGCTCGAATTGAACGAGTGGATGACAACTTTTCCAGCAAAAGCTCAGCCTATTTCCATCTTTGAAACGAATAACTGGTCGCAGATTTCGTACCACAACTCCATGGTGCTTCTTTTGCGGCCGGTAGTGCTCGAAGTCTCCAAACTAAGAGAACACTCTAATCCAAGGTTACTAGAATGGTTCAAGGTGTTCACACAATCTGCCTCTGCCATTTGTATGAACTATAAGGATCTCCACTCCAAGGGAAAACTTGGATATACCTGGCTAGCAATGCACTGTGTTTTCGTTGCTGGATTATCTTTTTTATATTGTTTGTGGATTGACACCACTGTGAAGGTTTTGGAGTGGAAAAGAAGACGACTAATTTACGACACAGTTTCGGCGTGTTCCAGTTCACTTTATGTTCTCGCTGAACGTTTTCCTACTGCTTCGGTGTTCCGAGACACTTATGAAAGAATTGCCAATACAGTCTTGACCAAAGTGGAGGATGCAAAAAAAGATACACCCGTCAAGTCCACGGCTCAGGGTGACTTTACAATGGGGGTTTTGGACGAGGGAAGCATTGGCATCGATCAGTATCTAGGCTATGAAGCAGATTTGAAAGCACAGCTCCAGAGTGATGCTTCCATGACAAACACACAAAGAGTCACTAATTCAAAGAGTCCAATGAGCTCGGATTTTGTGTATGGAATTGGAGACGGAAAGTATAATTATAACGGCGACGGTTCCATGTGGGAGTTTTTGGATAACACTGGAGACAAGTTTCTTCGGGATATCTACTATGACATGGAGAATAACTTTGCTGAAGACAGACATGAACGCGAGGCAGGCTAATGGAAATGATGTGGAATATGAATCAAATCATTCCTGCTCCTTGACCTTCTCGCAAACTATTTCTCCATGAACCATGATCATGACTGCCTCTTTATTTTTACACCAATCACTCCATGCCTTTCTGATGTCATCCTTGGTATATTTAGTACCCTCACCAGCCTTGTCCAAACGAGCCTCATACAATTTTCGAAACCATTCCCGATCTTCATCAGTCGATATACTCCAAACCGAACTAGAAAACGAAATTTTCGATTTTTCAAAACCAGCCTTTAATGCATGGCTCTTAAGCTTTCTACCACCGTCTGTGACTGTAGCAGGGCCTGTTACCAAGTCGGTAAAAAAGTATTTGAGAGGCTCTTCCAAATTTTCAGGATAGATCAGAATACTTCTCAAGTCAGCATCTTTACAGCAAACGATACCCCCAGGCTTGACAACACGGCGCATCTCAACGAGTGCCCTTACATGGTCTTGCAAGTGGAGCAAAACCTGGTGAGCAAATACAATATCAAAGGTATTATCTTCGAATGGAAGTGAGGTTGCGGAACCAATTTTATACTCGACGTTTCCAAGCTGTTTTTGCTTTGCTTGCTCTCGGCCCAATTTTACCAAATCCTCTATAGTATCAATGCCATATACCTTGCCATTGGGCACTTTTTTGGCCAAATCATTGGTAATGGTTCCGGGACCGCAACCGACATCAAGAATCGAGTGGTTTGCATTGATAAACTTGATCATAAAAGCCATGCTATTTTCGACATTTCTCCAACTATGGGTGTCGGATACTTCCTTTTGTAAACCTTTTTTATAGTATACGTTGTCTTGCATTACACTGAACAATTGTTCTAATCGATTGGAGGTAATATCGTATCGGTTTTATGCACTCCTGTCGGATTTCCTCATTCGGACAGGTTGCAACCGTCGCTAACACTTTCAAGAAATTCCGATGATGGGGTCTGGGAAGTAGTGTTTTTACTACGACAGAATACATGACACTCGCCAAATCATTTTGAGTGCCGTTAGAAAGGCTCATGATCCGAACTGAGAATTTCGCTTAGTGCAGCGAATTTTTGACCAGGTCATCTTTGATCTTTGACCAGATTTGAGCTTGGTTCGAATCCCCAGATGGCTTCAACTGATATTGAAGTACGGTAGGATTACGGTTTTCGATTATCCAATCTCGGTGAATTGTGAAAATTAACATAATTGTACTCCGGTCAGTTCGCATTACTGTACATTGAAGGTAGACAGATGCTTCAACCACGAAAAATAAATGTGAATCTTCAGCTGAAAACATACAAGTGGCGATAGTGTCGCCTCCAGATATTGCTATTCCACCTTCCTCATCCATTGCTCTCCAGTGTGATCTTTGAAATAATTGAATCTTCTCTCATTTGCAGCCATTAAGAGCGCCTAAAACGAAATCGTAAACTGACTTTCTCAATATTATAGCTACATTTGACATTTGCTCAAAGTCTAGCCATAATTGTACCATCTAATATCTGCGCCAAACCTTCCTGAGATAATTTCACCAGCCGAAGTCCGTCCCAATCTCCGACCAATCTCAGCCACAGTATCCTCGTCATCGCACGATGATTTGAGTGTGGCTATATAACTCACACTAACTTCAAAATAGTCAATGACTTCTCGCTATGACAAGAGACCCAATTTCATCGTCTACATGCCCGACCAATTGAGGTACGATTGTGTTGGTGCATTTGGAAATACCACCATAAAAACTCCGAACATTGACCGGTTGGCGCTGAATGGTGTAAAGTTTACCAATTGCTATCTTCAGCACTCAGTCTGCTCACAAAGCAGAGCATCTATAGTCACCGGCAAGTATCCTCATGAAACCGGGCACCGAGGACTTACCACTTACCTTCGGCTGTGGGAAGATAATTTTTTCAAGACGTTGAAAGAGAACGATTACCATGTTGTCAGTGTAGGAAAAAGAGGAGATATTTTTGCAGAGGGTGCTTCGGAGGAAAGCTTGAATGAGTACGGGTTCATAGTAGAGCCAGAAGCCAGTCTTTTTGAAGATATGAGGGAAAAACTCACCAGATTTCGTCAAGATTATCTTGACAAGAAATCCCCCACAGACTGGAGTCGTTTATATTATACTGGCTCCAGAGATCCAATTGCGGATTTTGACGAAGCTGTAATTCAAAGTGCAGAGAAATGGCTCGATGGTGTAAATGGTGGTTCAATTTCCACCGGTGGTAAACCATGGATACTTTTTCTCCCGTTATTTTTTCCCCATTGTCCTTTTGGAGTCGAAGATCCGTATTTCTCGATGTACGACCGCTCAGCAGTTCCCAGCCCGCTTAGCACTGATTCTAAAACAGGACACGAACCTGCTTATATGAAGCGTTTGAGAGAGAAACATGGACTCAATGATACCCCGCTAGAAGTTTGGCACGAAATAGTAGCAACCTACTACGGTATGATCTCTCGAATTGATGATCAACTAGGCCGTATAATTTCCAAAGTTGAAGAATCAGGCTTGCAAAAGTCAACCTTGACGATATTCTGCACCGACCATGGTGAGTACTTGGGAGACCATGGGTTGATAGAAAAGTGGCCCAGCGGTGTTTCTGAGCAGCTTGTACACGAGCCCTTAATTGTGAGTGGCTTAAACTTGCCAAAAGGGAAAGCGGTAGACTCACTTTGTGAAATGGTGGATCTAGCTCCAACATTATTTGAATTTGCCCAGTTGGGAGAAGCTCCATTTGCACACAATGGTAAATCTTTGGTTCCTTTACTCTATGGTGAAACAAACACACACAAAGACTACGTCTATTCGGAAGGAGGCTTCTTGAAAGGAGAGGATGCAATTATTGAAATTGCACCTTTTCCTTATGATCTCAAATCGGGATTGCAGCATGAGGATATTGTCACTGTTGGTCGAGTAATTGCCATCAGAAGTAAGGAGTATACTTTTGTCTACAGACTTTATGAAAAGAACGAGTTGTATTCAAGGGTTGCTGACCTTGCTGAAGCTCACAATTTGATCGATGACCCAAAATATGCCAATATCATTCAACAGTTGGAGAGTCAATTGTTACGTTGGATGGTGGAGTCCAGTGGTCTTCCTCCAAAACTGGGGCCACGGCACGTAGAGGTGAAATTGCCAAAGCCTGGAAGTACAACTTTTGAAAGTTCACCATAGAATATATGAAAGTGCTTTGTGAGATCATTTTATCGTTCATGCATTTTGACACCTGCAAGTGAACCTTCTTGCATGAACACGCAGTGAACGATTTGCAGCCAATGAGATCATTACAACGAAGCTTTACATCAAGCAGCAAGTTAAAGCCTTGACTTGTTTATTGACATATAGAGCGTGAAAAATATGGAAAGCATCACCATCACAAAATCGTTTACCCTAATTTCTTGCTCCCACTTTTTCGATAAAAGATCCTCACCTTATTTCACAAAATGTATAGATGAAACAAACCCAAAAGTCGCAAAAAGGACGTTCTAGCACTTCAAATTGTTGATAAGAGTCTGGCTTTCCTTTTACTTATTTTCTTCTTGAAACATCTTTTAGGCTTCAAATGTGAAAATGCAAGATTTTGTAACATCAAAAAGATACTGAAAAAAGACAAACATGCATTTACTGGACATTTTCTAGCTAACTTTTAAAGAGACTATACTCTCAATCTTGTGGTCAGCTTCATTTTACTTTTGAATCTCAATACTTTTGCAATTCCTTCTCACGCACCCCCAACTCCAGCAATGTACGCAAGAGACCAGGTTCGAGACATGCCATTATCCATCAACTCCAACCGCCAGTCGTTTCCAGCAAACCAGCTCCATGCCCGCCTGGGGTCAATTATAGCCAGGTTCAACATTAAAAGACCCTTCCATCCATCGGGAATCCGGTCGATAATATGAGCTATTTTAAGGTCCCATTCTTCTTGCACAAACTTCTTATTCCGCATGTAGGAAGACATTGGAGTTATGGGGATCATATGAATTCCATGGATCCATTCGTCACCAATGGTACCACGACCAAAATATGTAGCGTAGTCGATCTTGTTTTCAAACAATATTCCTGAAACCTTGTTTTTGATTATACGCTTGGGCTGTATTTTGTTGTCGTCTGCGAACAACATGTACATATTAATTGCCCGGCGCATCACTGCAAGCATCAAGTTTGCACACTGCTCGTACAGCTTGTCTTCGATAATTTGAGCGTACAATTTTAAGGCATAGACAGAATGATAGTCTTCCGAAGAAGACTCTTCATCCTTTCCATCTCCTGAAGCAAAGATTCCATGCGCAAAAGAATGACCATGAAACCAGTCAAACGACCGAAATTGGGGAAACTTACCGTCGGCAACAGGATTAGCAAAATCTTTAACCAAGGCTGTGACATAATTGAGCACTAGTCCATCCTTTTCGTGGAGCCATTGTTTGTCGATTTTAGCTATCAATGCAATGGCATGGACATGATACCCGTAATGGAAATGATGGTCATTGTAGTTGGCGTTACCAAAGTCGGCTGCTGGGTCAGCGGTAGACCGAATACCTTTCCAAGTTTTGTCATAAGTCAATGGATTTTTCTGTGAATTGGTAGCAAAAATTTCTACCGCCTTCTTCACCTTTGGTAGCACCTCATTGGTAAGGCTTTCATCTTTTAGTATGAAATGGCACACATAGGCAATGTATGCGTATTTATCAAGAATCTTGCCTGAAGTGTACATGGAGTCGATGTTTGCCATACCGACTACATCATCCTTGCACTCTTGTGTAGCGGCCATTTTGATAGCCTGGAGCGCTTCAGATGAGTAATGGGCACCTGGGGACTCCCAGTTGATATTCTGAGGAAGTTCAGTCTCTTCCATCACCAATTCGTTAGTGGCATATGCTCTCATCACACCCTTAGTTGTCGAGTCCAACTCCAATTTTGTGAACAGTTTGGCGGTGTCTCCACTAAGAACTTGCTGGTGATGTGGCAAGCACCAGACAATTCCCACACCAGGTTTGTTCATTTTGTAGGAAAATCGATATTGGTTTCCATTGAAGGAAAGTTCACAACTAGTTGGCCAATTACCTGCGCTTTCGTCATAATATTTCGAATCACCTCGGCAGATTTGAACCACAGCTCCGGTTTTTCTGCCCACAATATGATTTGGATCAGCAAGACCAAGTTCCAGATCGTCACTGTAAACCAGCCAAGTTACCTGGTTGAACAAGACCACTCTATACTTGGTAAAAGTGCCGGAAGACGACTTAACTTTCTCGAATTTCTGTACCCCGACCTGTGACGCCACCACAGGAGCAATACTCTCATAAACTGCTGTAATAAATCCCATTCCCTGAACAAGGGGAACGGTTATCTTTCCAGATGAGCCCACAATCTCGGCAGTAACCGACATCTTTTTATGATTCCTGAGGTCAATTCTAGCAGATTCAAATCCACGACCCGTGAATACAAACGATTTGATCTTGGGTGGGTTGAAATAAAACTGCACCGGGTCAGAATCGGGGTCTGGTCCGTATACCTGTTGCGCGGCTTCGGTGTGGTTCAATGCCAAGCCCACGTCTTGTCCGGGATCTTTCGTCATCCATAGCGAATAGGGAAGCGTCCAAACAGGAAAAGTTTGGTCTTCCAAAGTTAAGTTGTTGTAGAAATTGTTGGTTTGTATTGGTTCGTCGTCGTTGCAGCCGACTGGAAGTTGAGGATGAGTCGACGTAGGAAACGGAATTGGAAGATCAGGTAAGCCTGAGGCTACGTGAGCCGGGAGCGGCATCTGTTTTCTGGCGTAGGCTGGCTCGCCATCCTTTTTTTTGAGGTGATTCTTTTTAAGGTTCGTAAAGAGGCCCATACGAGAGATGAAATTCGCAGCAAGTTGAATTGGGGGAGGAGCCTACAGGCAGGAACGAGAGAGCCTAACCACTGGGAGTAGGCCATGAGTAGACCATATACCATGGGACATAGGTATAACACCATAGCTTTATTTCACTGCATCTACAAGCTGCGCTTGTAGCTGAGCTCGCTACGCTCGCTGGTTATCAATATTCATGCATCTATAAAACTAACAATAATCCCGCAGCCATCGCACCGGCAACTCCGATGTTAAGAGAGTTCATGCTGACTCCATTGCCGGCCAGGGTCGAGCCCGAGCTTCCATTAGTGCCGTTGCCAGCAGTGCCGTTGACGGCAGTACCGTTAATTTTACCTTCCTTGAAGAGTCCGTAAGCTTTTTCGGAAGAATCGGTAACAAACTTGGTCACAGTGACAGGACTCTTGGTCTTGTCGAAACGTCCCCATTTGTGGGTACCAGAGCTGGTTGGCTCAGACGAGGGCTTCGTCTTGTCAAAACGTCCCCACTTGTGGGTTCCAGAAGTGGTTGGTTCCGAAGATGGCTGGGTCTTGTCGAAACGTCCCCACTTGTGAGTTCCTGAACTAGTAGGCTCTGAAGATGGCTTGGTCTTATCAAAGCGTCCCCACTTGTGAGTGCCCGAGCTGGTGGGCTCGGAAGAAGGCTTGGTCTTGTCGAAACGTCCCCATTTGTGAGTTCCTGACGAAGTGGAAGTCGAGGCTGGTTTTGTTTTGTCAAAACGGCCCCATTTATGAGTGTCAGTTTCTCCATAGAAAGTTGTAGTAACAGTTACTGGTTCTTCGTCCGCAGCGGAGACCACGGCAGCAGCCAGAACCAATCCAAGAGCTACAGTTGATACCTTCATGTTTGTAGAGAAACAAAAGATTATCGCGGGATTTTTTTTTTTGGCTGTAGCCGACAGGACGGCTCCTGCATGCGGAACGGCCGGCTTACTATGGTCCAAATTGGTTGCCCGATTGGGCCGGCGGTGCGACGAATGTGAGAAAAAAGAAAATAAACCGATGGAAAGAATAAAAACGTCGTGTATTATGCAGTATCATCAATAAGTCGTACTTTAAAACTGAAAGTTTTGCTGGTTCTGGACCCCAAACCCAAATGCATCGCCATACGCCTGGGGCGCAACGCTATCCTCGTCGATCTGGTCGTCCTCCTCTGAAAAGTACTTCTCAATAATTCTGTATGCCTTCTCGTAAACCTTTTCGTTCTCATTACCTTGACACTCAAAGATCTTCTCCATGCCACCTGCCTCTTCGATGAAAAGTGCATTTTCGTTGACATTCAGCCCGCGCGCCTCCTTGTCGAGCTCGCCCATCTTGAGGATGTTCTCGAGCGAATCTAACGTCACCTCGATAATCTTAGGGTCGGCCACCGCCAAAAGGTCGCATAACGGCTTGATGCATCCTTGGCTAACAAGGTACCGAATTTGGTCGGGGCGAGTAAGTCCGCCCAGAGACGCATTGGAAATGGCCCAGCATGCCTCCTTCTTCGTTTTGTAGTCGCCAGAAACCAACAACCGGATTATTTGCGGAATCAAGTTGGCATCGATAACTGCTTGGATTTGGTCCGAGTTACCAGCGGTGATATTGGAGATGGTCCAACACGCCTCTTTTCTGATGGTTTCCTTGGGCGAGTTCAACAATGGAGCCAACGCAGGGAGCACACCGGCATTGATGACGATCTGAGTCTGGTAGTCGTTTCCCGTGACAATGTTACCAATGGCACGTAAAGCCGGGGTCTGCACCAAATTGGATTCATGTCCCAACAACTCCACGAGTCTATGGGGAATCCGGGCGTCCACCACCGCCTGGATGGCCTCGGTGGTTCCATCGGAAAGGTAAGACACCGCCCAGCAAGCATCAACCAACGTTTCGGCGTCCACCGAATATATCAATTTAGCAAGTGTAGGAATTGCCTGTTGCACCGTCAGCCAGTCCGGTTGCGGGTTTTTACCACGACACAAGTTGGACAACGTCCATGTAGCGGTTCGGATTAACAGCATCTTGGTGGTGTTGAATAACTCCAAAACCGGCTGCATTGCCTGGCACGCAAGCACATAATCACGATACTCCGAAGAGTCTCCTGCAACATTTCCCAACGCCCAAATAGCCTGTTCCTTCACCTCCATCGACTGCGAGTACAAAAGGTCTACGAAAAGTGGCACCGCACCCAGCTCCACCACCACTCGAGTCTGGTCGGAGTTTCCCGATGCAATGTTGGTGAGGGCCCACGCCGCCTCCAACTGCAACATATCCGGGTGGTTGGGCCGCATGAACTCCACCAACGTGGGGATTACACCACTTTGAATCACAAGGTTGATGGGAGGATTGTTTTCCCGCGATAAGATTTGGCGGAACTTGACGGTGGCAGCAAGTTGGCTGTCAAAATCGTTGGTTTGGATCATTTCCATCATCCGAGGAAGATCCTGCTGGAGCTTACCATAAAACTGGTCCTCGTCCAGCCCAGGAACCGGCTCTTCTTCGTCTTCCGAGTCATTGGCGGTGTAATTTCGACGTTTCGACAATGCTTCTTCCCTCTTTTGTTTCCGGAGATCCACTTGATGGGTCTCTCTTCTCCGCCTGAGCTCATCGCTCTGGAACCGTCCTTTGTTCTTGAAGTTCGTACGCCTATATTCAGGCACAAATCTTGACGTGGCGTCGGAATCCATGATAAAGAAGGAGTTTGAACGTCAAGAAAAAAAAAACTTTTGCGCGCGCTCTAAGTCATGTGCGAACTTCAGATTCTTTTGGTTATAGTAAGAATAATGATGTGGGTGCTGGCGGTAAAATATAAACCTCTGGCGGTGCTGGCGACTCTCAGACACTTGTCTCATACCACTGTATCACGGAGTAGCTTCAGAACAGACTCAAATGTCGAAACTGACGAAATCTCATCGTCCAATGATCCATGGTCTCCTACCCTACTTTCCGATACCGTTTACATTCGGACCCCAAACTCGCTTCGTTCTCACCCATTACCGGGCTACCGGCTCTCGTACTCACCGCTATACGAAGCCCCGGGTTCCAAATATGTTGCAATGATGAAAAGACTCACTCTTAGTTTCGCCGTGCTTGGCTGCTACGGTGCCAAATTATTCTACGAACTGGCTCAATTTGACGATTTGTACGCTTTGGCCACGTTGGTGGGCTGCTGGACCCCTACGGCTGTGGTACAGTACAAAACCAAGGACTACGTAACCCGAATTTTTCGACTTTATTCGAAGGACAAGCCACAGACATTGGAAAATCTTGTAAATGACGAAAAACTCATTTTGGAAAAACTCAATGCCACCGGCGGCCGAACTTATAATTGCTTGGTGAACGTCGACTCGTCGCTTCAGTTGGACAAACCACCAAAGTGGCTGAGACCGTATTCTTCCTGGAAAGACATCGAGCCCACCACTGGAAAAACTCGCCATTTTTACGTTGCTGATGATATGGGAGGAGTCAAAATGGACAGATTGTGGGGGATTGTGGAGCACAACTCGGGTGTGGACAACGGACGATATATAAAGTGAGGAAGAGAAAGGGGAAGAAAGACGAAGGGAAAGAAGGTAAGGAGGAAGGAAGGTAAAGAACGAGATTATGAGGCACTAACTTTTTCTGGAATGCCAGCGGCGCTTTCTTGGATCACAACGAAGAACTGCCAATGGTTACCACTATGGATTCTCGACAGCTACTGCTCACCACTGTATATAGACCGCATGAGCTGGAGCTGAGCTGGAGCTGAGCTGCCAATGAACTGACCGATGGGCTAAAGCCAATGAAGCTAGAAGGTTGGTTACGAAGCTATTTTAAATATGGCTCACTGCCACTGCTACAACCCATTGTTACTACACCTACTGCTATCTTATTGCTACCTCTTTATTTGCTAATACTTGCTTTTCTCTTGGTTATCTCACTGCAGTTTCACTGCGAATTCACTGCGAATTCACTGCGAATTCACCGCTCGCTGTGCTCGCCAGTGAATTCTGTGCTCGCGGTGAATTCTGGCTCGCGGTGAATCTGCCGCGGTGAACTTTTCGCAGCCTTATTTCGTGCCGCTCACTTAGTTCGCGGCGTTACTTCTCGCGGTGTTCACTCTCACGGCGTTTTCATGGACGATTCTCCCCACCCCCCAGCAGCCCCCAACCCCGATGCCGGCGAGGCCAAGGCTACCGTGCCGGTCAAGCAAGATGATCAGACACAACATAATACTCGACTAAACGCACTTTTGTACCACACTTCCAATGATTCAATCGACCTCTACAAGAAGGAAAACAACTCACTGGATCTTATGGGTCGGCTTTACTTTGACGACTATGATTCCGACTCTGTGGTTTCTTCGGGTGCTGTTTCGCCAGTAGTACAACTGCCGGGCGCCACTGTGCCGTCAATGGAGTATTTTAATACTCGTCTTGACCCACTTTTTGAAGCACTCAAAAAACCAGAACGACCCGAATTCGAACGGGGAATTTCGTTTTCCGACTCAAGAAGCGTCACCTTCAAGGTCAAGCACCCCCAATTCAAGTTCCGTCGTAATAACAAGACTTTTCTTGCTGGGTTCAACGACGAACCGCTGTCTCTCAAAGCCATCGAATGGCTCTACGACGAAATGATCATCAATGGCGACACATTGATAGTTCTCAGGGTGCTCGACGAAAAGACTCACACCTCCATAGACAATGCTGCTGCCAGCGCCAGTCTCAAACGGCTCCAGTCGCTCAACGCCCACAGCAAGAAGATCCTGATGGTGTTCGAGACCACCATTGGAAAACCCAAAAAGCTCTTAAAGCGAGCAATTGACGAGTACAAACCGGCTATGATGGCCATAGGCACCCGCCATACCGACCAGCATGTCCAGCACCGTTCGTTTCTTGCCAAAGAGCTGATGCTGAAACACTTTTTGGAGTGTGCGCTCGTTCCAGTAATTGTGGTAAAACCTACATGGCGCTACGTGGAGCAACTAGAACATCCCATAGACTCGGAGACATACTTCCACGATTGGATCGTCAGCATAGATATCGACGGAAGCTACAGAAAAAAGAAAAAGAAAGGGTTCCTCAGCCCATCGCTGTCGCACACCAGTCTCGCATCGGCCAGCGAAAGAGGCCGAAATCTTGCACCCAAACCGTCCAACGAGTTTTTTTTCGCTGACTCGCTGCGGTCTCGGTCGCGGTCCCAGTCCAAGACCCGGTTCCGAATCTTCGGCCACTGACCCCACATTACGGCATATAGGGGTCAGAATATTTTCCTTTAGTTGCGAGCAATTTTTCGCAATCAATTTCGCACACAAACTTTCAAGTTCCACTTCATGCGATCAGTAGGTAACAGGGCCGCCCTCGTGGTCGACTTGGCATCTCTTGCGATCGGAGGCTGGGGTCTCTGGACAAACATCCATTATGAGCTCCCGCACCACTTGGCCGATGCCGGGCATTGGCAGTTTCTCACCAACATCTCGTTGGCTTACTCACTCCTAGTGTTTGCCCTTGGGTTCCTAGCCCACGCTCTATACTCGCAACCCATCTTTTCCCTCAAAAATTCCCTTCATCCCATCGCCTTGACCATGGAAATGATCGTGGCTTCGGTCTACTGGCCACTTAGATTATTCTTTTTACACTTGTTGGTGGACGACGTCAGCCGGTTCACCTTCCCTGTCCAAGTGGACTTGGCTATCCATCTATTGCCGGTGGTGGCATTGGCCGCGGACTATATACTATTTATGCCTCCATGGACCATCACCACTCGCTCGGCTCTATTGGGGTGCGCGGGAATCACCGTGGCTTACTGGTTCCATTTGGCGAGATTGATCGATATGTCCAAGGGAGCCATGTACCCGTACCAGTTTTTGAACGTGGAGGACGATACCGTGCGGGGGTCGATTTTTGTCATTGTGGGATTGGTGGGATTTCTGATGTTTTTGGTGGCTCGCCAGCTCCACGGGTGGATTGTTCCCAAGCAAAAATTGGAATAGCCGAGGCCTAGCGCCGCCTAAATGTCTTCTTTGCAAAGTAGTCTGCTGCTGCCAACGACCCAAACAAAACCAACAACACCAGTCGTTTTCCCATACTGGCATTGCTCAAAAATGGATAAGGAAATTTCGTCACTCCATCGCCGCGACACCACCACATATGGGCCTCGATAACCGCCCAATAAACCACCAACACCGCCTCTGCCACCACAATCGAGTGGCGTCGGCTCCGGTACCGGTTCCAGCTAGCGTCTATAGTCAAGAATATATAGGGAAAAAGGTGGATTTTGAGATCAAGTAACAATGACACTTCAAACGAGTCCACGTTGAGCAGGTACGGGAACACCCACAACATCACCCAGTAAGCTACCGTCACCACAAACTCCAAGTGTGCACACGCAAGCATCGCCACCGTAACCATGGAGTCCAATTGGTCATAATACCATAGTTTTTTGTTGGCAACGTCGATGGCTATTCGACTGCCCACAGCTATACAGGTGAAAAATAACGCTACGTTTGTCAAAAATTGCCAGCAGCCTCCCGTGGCCAAATGGGGCGGAAGGGGAAGCCGGGCAGAGTCCTGGAGGCCGCTTAAGCATATGGCTATGTACACGAAGCGCACCACATTGTTCCACATTAAAGTGCGAAGGAGAAGAAATTTAAAGTGCGAAATTGATTTTCTCATCTAGTGATAATGTGGGGTATACTGCTATTGACACTTTTGTGGGTATTTTGTGGGGCCCAGGGGCTCATTCCGCCACAACAACCACTAGTGTTTCCCAAATATCACAACGAAAAAGTCGTAAGAATCACAGAAGACCCAAAAAATGTGGTCCTGTTGCTCACATCGGCAAACAACATCACCTACAAAAAATGGGGTTCCAGCACATCCGAGAAGTTTGTTGATATCCATGTGGACGAGGACAACTACGCGGCTCTCCAGCTGTTCCTGTTTCGCCACAAGGTTATTATTGAAAATTTGGCACAGGCAATTGCCGAAACCATGCCGCAACAGTCGGATTCCGTGGTAGAGACAACACAAATTCAACCACTTTCGGAGATTTTCTTCAGAGAATACCGCCCATTGGAGACCATAGATGCCTGGTTGGACATCTTGCAACAAACTTTCCCGGACATCCTTCTGGTGGAAGAAATCGGACAGACCTATGAGCATCGTGCACTCAAAATCGTCCATATTTCTCGCCCTTCCGACATCGACCACGACAAGAAAAAAACCGTGGTGGTCACTGGAGGCACCCATGCCCGCGAGTGGATCTCGGTATCGTCTGTTTGTTACGCCATTTACCAGTTACTTCAACTTTACCTTGAAGAGCCCAACAAGATTTCTGAACAATTGGACTTTCTTTTCATTCCCGTGATGAACCCCGACGGATATGCGTACACATGGACCGAGGACCGGCTCTGGAAGAAAAACCGCCAGGAAACACATCTTCCCAAGTGCTTTGGAATCGATATCGACCACTCGTTCGACTACCATTGGACCCGATCTTCCGACTGGGCTTGCGGCGAAGAATACTCGGGAGAATCTCCCTTTGAGGCCCTAGAGGCCCGTATGTGGCACCAGTACCTCAACGATACCAATCACGACCACAAAATTTACGGCTACATTGACCTACATTCGTACTCACAAGAGGTGCTTTATCCGTATGCTTTTTCATGTACAGAGCAGCCTCGTGACGAGGAAAACTTGATTGAACTCGCGTACGGCATCTCCAAAACGATCAGAAGGCAATCGGGAAAAAACTACAATGTGTTACCAGCATGCATTGATAAGGACCTGGATCTTCTTCCCGATTTGGGCAGTGGAAGTGCGCTCGATTTTATGTACCATAATAAGGCATACTGGGCATACCAATTGAAGCTTAGAGACTCTGGGAGTCACGGCTTTTTGCTACCCAGCAAATACATCGAACCGGTGGGCCGCGAGGTGGCAGCTGCTATCCGGTACTTTTGCACCTTTATCTTGAGCGATGAATAAAATATAGTGCGCGCACTGAAAAATTTCTTATCATTTGTATGAGAGTAGTGAAAAATTTCTTATCTTTTGTATGAGAGTAGTAATCCAAAAGGTCAAACGAGCGGCGGTAACCGTGGACTCGGCCGTGGTGTCGTCGATCCAAAAGGGTCTCATGGTGCTTGTGGGCATTTCTACATCAGACACCATGGCAGACGTGGAAAAATTGCTGAAGAAAATCGTGGGGTTGCGATTATTTGAAGACTTGTCAATTGCTCCCGAAACCGCTACAAAATGGTATGGCAAGCCATGGAGCAAGAGTCTCAATGACGATCTGGCATTGGAGATCCTCTGTGTATCTCAATTCACACTTTACGGCACTGTGAAAAAAGGATCCAAACCGGACTTTCATCGGGCTGCAAAAGGTCAAGAAGCTCGACAATTGTACGATAGTTTTCTCGACCAATTGCGTGGTTCCTTGGGCAACGAAAGAGTGAAAGACGGAGAGTTTGGAGCGATGATGGACGTGGAGCTTGTAAATGACGGTCCGGTGACAATTGTATGGGATACGCAGAAAACTGACTTGTAAGAAAATCCGACTTAAATTGAAGCATAGACAGAAAATCAAATTAATGGTAGACCAGCAAACTAGACAAAAACTGAAAAGCCGCTGATCAAACGAATATTATATAGTTTCACGGAACTAAAGACCGTTGCTGACACAGGTAAATGCCTTACCATAGGCACCGGCTTGGTACGACCATATGATACTCTGCACGGTCGCATAGAGACCTGGACCCAAAATATAGAACCCAATAGCCACCAAAGCCAAGTTGATAACATACTCCACTTTTCCCACCAAAGTCGCCCGCTTGAAAATTTGTCCCATGGTAACGTTGGGCTCACCCTGTCTTCTATAATGAAGACGTTTCAACTTAAAGTAGGCCACTCCCCAGAAAACAAATCCGAACCAACAGTCGAACAAGGAACTCATCAACGAAAGCAAATCGGAAAAGAAAGGAATCACCTCGGCAATGATGAAGGCAAGCACCCAGAGTCCAAAGTTCAATCCGATCCAAGTACCCCAACCCACCAAAGTGTGCTCATTTCTGTGTTGGGAGTCGTGGGAGAAGATATTATGGAAGAGGAATTGCGATGAAACGTTACCGTACAACGCACCCAAAAACAAAATTGTAGGAAGGGCAAACGAAAACGAGATTTTCTTGTACAACGTCTTCAACGAACCAAATGCTGGCGCAGTCATGTAGGCGTTGCCCACATAAACGTAGACAATGGATCCTGCCAACGCAAAAGTGATAAGCTCGAGAAGAGTCACCACGTAAAGAGCCTTCTTAAAATCTTTAGGACGTTTCATCTGAGAAATGAAAGACGGATAAGTGATCTGTCCGACAAAAGTGTATACAATGTTCAAAAATGCTTCCATAGCAGCCACATAAGTGGTACCTTTCTCGGGGAAAAGTCTGTATTTTACGGGAAGTCCCGTGTAGTGGCCCGGGTGGTCTTCGATACCAGCAAACACCATAGCCAAAATCACCGCGATAAACATGGTGATAGCGGAAAAGTATGCCACCGACGACATCGACGAGAAGGTTCTTGGAAGTGACATCAAGAAGCAAATAAGGGCTGTTATAACAGCAAATACAATAGCACAAAGTGAGTAATTTTCACTAATAGTGGTCCAGTATCTTGCCCCCACCAACACATGCAACGCCTGGATAAACGTATTGTTCAACAAGAAACACACGGCGGTGGCGTACCATGCCCATTTTTTGCCCCAGAAGAGATGCTGACCGATATCACACACAGTGGTAACATGAGGGTATGCCGCGCAATAGTCGCAAATGATGATACCCGTATACAACACCGTCAACGCCACGAACACCGTCAAGATGAGACCTGGAATCAATCCAAGCACGGAATAAGACCAAGGGAACGACATGATAGCAAGACAAATATATTCGGAAAACAACAATCCAGCCGTGCGCTGCCACGAACAATTTCTGTAGTTGATGGAGTGGCCCGATTCGGCCAATACCGCCTGCTCGAGGTAGAGTTCAGCAGACTCATCCTTGGAGCTCAACGACACCTCGTCGATAGGTTTTTCCTTTGTGGTGTCGGCCTTTACGAGCGAAGGCTGGCGATCAAGTGTCGACATGATGGAACGAAAAAATTATGATGAAAATTGAGCAAAAAACGTTTGTTTCATCAGGGATCCACACCTATTAATAAATCTGAATGAGGATGAGGATACGAAAACTTTTTACGCTGGAACATTTTATCGCTGACACCGATCAACTGCATACGCACGTTGCGTGCCGGATTTTTGGCCCCAATGGGGCAATTGAAAATTAGCTTTTCGCCATAGATATGCACGCCGAGAACTGTCACCGTTACGTCATCGGCGCAGATTGTTCCTTAAAGAGGGGTGGCTACTCATCGGCCCGATATTCTCGCAAAATTGTCTACTGGATTCCTGGCATCTTCTTTGACAGGCCAGTGGAGGTTCAGCACTGTATCGTCATCGTAGCGATGTATTCAACTTGTGGTGTTGCTGAGCTGTGGCGGAATTGCGTCATCTGCACTGAGGGCGTTTCATGCGGCGTGCGGGACCAATTGGTTCTATTGCTGTGCGCATACGGCGATAACAGCGGCCAAAAAATGCGACATGTGACTAAAAGTGACTGCGACCAAACACCTACAAGTAACTGCGACCATACACCTGCAACCATCTGCGAAAAAATGCGAACGCGCGCCACCAGCCTCTGCTCGCTAATCCACTCTCTTCTCTCGCTTCTCGCTCTTCTCTCGCTTCGCTTTTCGCTCTATTGTGTCGCCCACGCTCCCGCTGCCACCACCACCGCTACCGCGGCCCACGCGTACTTTGTATTAAAGTTGAACCTGTCTTGCGGATCATATTCAAAAGACTCAAAGATCGTGTTGGGCTCCAGATACGGCTCGCCACGGTCGTGGTGTGTAGTGTGGTCTTTGACGAACCACAAGGCTATGAGCGCGAGTAGCAACAAACCGAGTCTTCGACGCATTGACATGAAACAGTGCGATTGAATAAGTGCGAAGTAATGAACACTTAAGGAAGCGCGAACAGGAAGTGCGAACAAGAATTGAGTACCGCGAAGTCAGTCGCGTGAAGCAAAAAACAGAGACTTTTCTCCCGCGAACTTACCGCGCGAACTTACTGCGAACTACCGAGAACTCGCGCTCCGCGCTTCGTCCTATGCTTATAGACCTCCCCGATGACATCTTGGCCGCAATCCTACACATCTCTGCCCCACAATCAGTAACCCTTCTTTCCTCAACCTCAAAACAATTTCGAAGCCGGTTACTGTCGTTTGTGTTCCGCAATGCCAAATGCACTTGGTCCCAACTTCTCCATCACACCGACCAAATATCGCAAATTTCTCCCTACGTGCAACAAATAAGGCTCACAGACTCATACCCATACGGCGAATGGCACATAGACGTTATTACTCACTTGGATCAGTTTCCCAACTTGAAGGCATTGCAGATCAACCTGGCAAGCTCTGCCAATTGGCTCAGATACAGAGCCGATTCCCGACTACGTCGTCTCACATTGTACTCAGACACCACCATATCCTTCGCTAGAGTGTTCGATATTGGTCATATTCGACATTTTTCTCAATTAACTTGGCTTTCTCTCGACGAGTACCATTTTCTATGGGCTCCGTCAGACGTCGATTGGAGTGTCGGATTGGCACATTTGGTGCTCATCAATTGCACATGGGAGTTCCCGTTCTCCATATCACAATTCAATCCAAACGGAAACCTCAAATCGCTTTCCTTGACTTATAGACAACACCACCCATTTGTTCTTCTGGAACGATTTGCAAGATTTCTCGATTTTTCAGCGGAGTCCTCAATGACCAATCTTTCCTCTCTTTCCATAACCCTCGAGAACAACCATCTCTCGTGGAAGAGAGTGCTCTCGCCGAAGCAATTGAGTATCTTGGTGCTGGCCGCCAATTACCCTAATTTGCGTTCCCTCTGCTTGGACGGTTGGATCATCAGCCATAGTGAATCGTGCCAGTTTGAACAAATTCTCGCTGAAACTTCGCTCCGTGAACTACAACTCAATCTCTATACTTTTGATTCCAGCATTCATGTCATCAGCTGCAAAAAATACCCATGGCTAAACATCAGTTGTAACATCTTCCATGTGTAATCCTGCATTGATCTGTTCTCATTGTTTCACGAAAATTGTCAATTTTGCAAGAAATGCTTGTTGGACTCTTCTTTCTTCTCGTGGCGGTGGCAGCCAATACAGAGTCAATTGTAGTGCAGGTGCCCCCCTACTTTGAAGTTCCATCCCACAATGCCGTTTTTTCACCAACTGAAATCTTACCGCTAAATTCAACTCACAGTCATCTTGCGGATTTTCCCATTTACGACAAATACACCTACCCAAAGGACACCAAAGAGCTCCAGGTCCTTTCATTGGACCCCAGGCATCAGACTCTTTTCGTTAAACTCAACAACCATCAAAACTCGGTCTACTCAAGTGGAGACATTCTCTATATCAAGTTGTGCTGGCCCGCAACTACACCCTATTCGTTCCGCTTGAGCCACCAATATCACTCAGAAAAACAATTGACCAAGTCAGACACCTCCCCACCAACACAGCTCAGTTTATACCTTCGAATCGACTACCATGGAGACTACTATGCAGTCAAACCCGGCCCTCCAGTACCGGTTCTGATGCAATTGACAGTCTCTAAGCTTGCGTGGATACCCATCCCGCTCGAACTTTACGACTTCATTGTCTATATTGTCGACATTGGTATTTTGCTAGCCACTATTGTGCCCTTGTTAGTACCTTGGTTCACCACCAGTTTTGCACCCAAGCACCACATCCACACGTGAACATCACCGCCTAATGACTCCTTCTTGCTCTCCTTCCAATATGTCGTTATCTGACGATGATCCATTGGGACCCCCCAAGAACACCCAAAATCTTGACTTATCCAAGCTATCGCCCCAGGAATTGAGAATTTACAAAATGTATGGAAAACTTCCCACCACTCAGCAGATCTTGTCGTCCAAGTTTCAAGACAAAAAGTACTTCGATAGTGGCGACTACGCCATGCAGAAACAATTGGGCAGTTCGAACCGTGCAGCAGGAGGAAACATACCCATGAAGCACCCCAATGCAGAGAAGGTGAAGGAAATATATAATCGAAACTCCATCAGTGGCAGCAATGCTGGTATATTGTACAACGGAAAACTGAATTTGTTGAACGAGTCGACCCCGGAGACGATTGAAGAGGAGAAGAAGTAGGCACTAAAGGCACATACAAGTAAATACGAATATAATAAGGAAGATTAGAGAATATTGTGTAAAGAAGGAAGGAAGATGAAATAGAAGACAAGTACAAAATAAAGTAATTGTAAGAAATACGAGAGGTTTTTCATTCCTAGTTCTCCGCTTTCGTAATAATACGCTCTTCCATCGTACTTTTTGCGTGTTTTTAACGTTTTCTGCTTAATTTTCCATGCTACATTCTGCACATTTTCTGCAATTTCTCCGCATTTTTCATGAACTTGGCCCAATTCAACCATGCAATTTCCACTTTTCACAAATTTGTAGCCGACAACCTATACCACCAAAACAAACCAGTTCCGGTCACTGGGTACTGTAAGCATGCTGAAAATAGAAAGTATAGTTTCATGGTAATGGAAATCAATGAATATCTGATCGAATCAGTGATAACCTTCCATCCATTTTATCAAGTTCCAGTAATGTATTTTCGAGTTTTGAGCAATTCCAACAACCAGGCTTTGTCAATTGACCAAATTGCAAAAATATTTTCAGATTTCTCCCCAACTTCAGTAACATTGGATTCACCCGAAGTAGTACCAGGAGTATGGTTTTGCATCCATCCGTGTGAAACAGCCCAGCAAATGGAAACTTGCTCCACCACCAATCCAGAAGAGTACCTTCGATTGTGGTATGCTTTTTACGGCGTGGGAGCTACTTTTCCCACCATCAGTGTACGGCCTACGATAAATGACTAAAGTATGTATTGAATTAGCCTAACGGCTCTCTACCAATTTTATGGCTTGGCGTTCGTGAACATCCGACATGGGTAGTTTTCGGTGTACATTCCGTGCTCGGGCTCCTGAAGGATGGTCCATTTGAACTTGTTCATAGATGGGGCTACAATTGGCTCGCCTTGTTTGCCCAAAAGTTCTCCTCTAATAACACTCTGAGGGACTCCAGAGAGTGACGTGGCCAAACTGACATCTTGGGAAGGATCAATGAACACCGACAACTCCTTGGTTCCCTTTTCTCCAACGGACACTCGTGGGTTTTCAACCGAGCCGAGCAGTAATAAACCAGCCACTTTTGTCTGATTGAATGCATTTACTTGGGGATAGTTTCTTCTGAAATCACGCTTGTAGTATGGGTTGCCCTTGATGTCTCCAGCAGGAATGGTAATTGGGTCTTCGTAATTTTGGGCTTCCTTGATTCTGTCACCTGGCGGCAGTTTTCTGTAAAGTGAAGGTATGGGGTTACCAGAAGATCTATTGGGTACCAACGCGAGCACACGTCTCACGGTCTCCCAGATACCGCGAGAGCCGGTTGTGTATTTTTTCCACACGGGAACGGGACCTCCAGCCATGATGCAATAACAGGTTGGTGAGAAAATCGAAATTGGCGACTAGTGGTTGGCTGGTTATCTGCAGGAATTACAATTAGAAAATGATGCTTAATGTCTAAATATTAATTAACGAAGAGAGCCCGACCAAGCTTTCCAAAGAGAATGAGTCCACAGAAGAAGAAGCTGCCGGTCCATAACCAGATGGCGTAAAAGTCTTCTTGGTTAAGAAGCACCAGATTAAGAAACGAATGAATCGCATCGTAGCTTTGCACGTAGACACCAAGACATGCCAATGCAGCCACTGCCACGCTGGAAATGAACCCTGAGATGGTGCCGTCAAGCAAGAGCCACAACCCGGGATTGAGCAACAGCCATATGATCAGCACCTGTAATGACGAGCTCCATTCGACGTTGCGAACTGCGTACGAGATGCCCAAGAAAGTGACCACCAGTCTCATCAAATCGTGGAAAAGCGCTGCTGGTGCGGTCCTTCGCCCGTCGGGGTTCGATGTGAGGAGGCGCTTGGTCAAGTATGCGGGAAGAACCCGGTCCATGACCGGATGCATAAGACCCATCACCATGCCCTCGGCGGTGAGACTCACCACGGCATCCACCGATTTTGGAACCAGACAAGAGAGTAAGCTGGAAGGTTTCAAGCTGCTGACAAGATTCGAAAGTACCTTGTTCGTAACGAGCAACGGCTTGAATCCGGAAAGCGTTTCAATGTGCTGGTTATGAATATGAGTCGTGAGACTATTGTAGAAAAACGCCGCCACGGCAAGCGTGGCTATTTTTGCCACTAGAATGGGCAATGACAGTTGCGGGAGCGACTCGGTGGCCACGGGTTGCTTGGGAGGCGTTTGAACCGCGGGATAATTGTCGTCTTCTTTGTTCAAATCGACAAACAGATTATCGTGGTAGATTCCATAAAGTGATGGCTTAGTGAGGTTCACCACTGAGTCTGTTTTCTCCATGACTGGCGTAGAGACACCGGAGCTGGCGCCTGATATATTATTGGATAAAACTCGTTTTCTGGTCGGCGTGGTCATGTTGATGATTTTGGTGCTGCGACAGGTGAGGTTTATATCTGGGCCTGGGTGCAGGATGTTCGGTTGGTCCCCGGATTTCAGTCTATGACTATGTAGTTCAGTTGTGCTGCCGAGGGCTTCTTTTTCTGTGCAAGAGTTTCACTTTCAGGTTTGTTATCGTCTTCGGGTTTGTCTTCGTCTTCGCTAGTAAGATCTATGATTTCCACCTCTTCTTCTGGGTCCACATCGGCACTTTTTCCGCACCATTTCGAGTCCTTTAAACGCCGCTCCGCCGCCTCCAAAGCGAGCTGTCGTAGGGAAGCTGCTGGCGATTTCGTGGTTCCTCCCAACCGGCGGGATTCCGCTTTGAAGACAGGTTTTGAAATTGCTGCGATACGCTTACTTCTGACCGTCGCTGTGGCCGATCCACGAACAGAACCGAGCACCTGCTCCTCACACACGTAGTCCGTGGCCACTGTGCCACGTAGCTGCAACTGGTCGAACCGCAGCTTGAGTTTATCGAGGTAATTGTAGAATTGCACATCGTGTGCGCCGTATAAATTATGGGTCAATTCATGCAACATCGTACCAATAACGTCTCCAAACGGCAAGAACAGCAACAGATTCGACGCGTAGCGAAGACGCAACAAGATCTTTTGTCCTCGGTTAACATTCAATCCTAATAGGTTGCGGTTTTTTGGGTACATCTCACACAACGTGCCCACTTTGAAACCAAATTCATTCATAAGCGGCGCCACCGCTTTGGCGACTTCCTGGAGGACGAGTCGTGCCTCCCGCTTGTCGGGGAAACGAGTCAAAGACCCTATATGGGAAATATTCTTTGTTGGCGATACCATCGGCACATCTTTCTGATGCCATCGGCCGCCTTTTTTCACCATCACTCAGCTGTAGGAGCCTGGTTCTACAAATACACAAGAACACAGCGCACGCAGTTCACTATAGCTATACAACGCATCAACAAGAGCCGGAACAAACGAGCCAGAACTGTGGTTCAGACGTGCTGCTGCTTCGCGGCCGCACTCATTATAAATTCGGACGGCCTGCACAGCAGCCTCATACACCAGGCCACAATTGGCTGCAACAAATGCTCCAATTACACTTCCTATGGCACATCCAGAACCTGTCACACGACCCATAACACTACTTCCACCCTCCACAGATACGTGGTTGTGCTCATCAATCACATAATTGGTTGCACCAGTAATCACTACCACACACTGAAAATCTATAGCCACGGCTCTTCCACCTTCAATTATCTTTTCGGCACTCAAGTCCACCACCGAGTCGACTCCCTTCATGAGCTGACTGGCGTCCTCGTCTTGTGTATACCCGTGAGTAAGTTTGTAAAGAGACATGATCTCGCCCAACATTGCCCTTGATCACACTGACTTGACCAGCATTCAAGATCTGTCTACAGCACTCAAAACGGGCTGCGGAAGCACCAGCAGCGACTGGGTCAAACACCACAGGCTTCCCATGCTTGTTGTACACTTGGAGAGCGTGTTTGAAGATATCCATGGTGGAACTGTTGGGGGTGCCCAAGTTGATAACGAGGGCCAACTTTTCAATATTTTGTGCAAGTTCATCATACTCTTCGGCAAACTCAGACATAATGGGAGAAGCCCCAACGGCTAGAGTCACATTGGCACAAAAGTTCTTGACCACATTGTTGGTTATGTGGTGAACAAGTGGATTCGATGCTCTCACCGCACGAATGACTTCCGTCTCTTTCCCCTCCTCTCTGCCACTATTCTTCTTATCTTTTCCAAATTCCTTCTCTCTCACAATTTTCGCAAGCGACTGGGTGGCTGCGCTAGCATCGGGATCGGCCATTATACATGAAACCACCGCAAGACCGTCGAGCGCTCTTCCTGGAATTCGACATTGAAACAACACTTTTGCTGCATTCAGATGATTAATTCCCCCAATTGCAACCGCTTTAATGTTAGCTTTGTGTTTCTCCAAAACATGCAACATCTTGCGGATTCCAATGGGTCCCGTACCTTCTGGTGTCTTGACATCTTTCTTTGTAGCTGTCTTGTAAACCGTCCCAAGCCCAACATAATCAGCTATTCCGTCTTCACACACCTTTTCTACTTCATGTGGATACGAGCAGGTTACCCCAAGAATCTTATTTGGTCCAATTAGCCTTCGAACGGTGACAGCTTCCATGTCATCTTGACCCACATGAACACCATCAGCATCCACTGCCAATGCTACATCAACTCGATCATTGATGATAAGAGGAATTCCTTTCTTTTCCGTCATACGCTTAATGGCCAAAGCTCGGTCGATAAAGTCTCTTGTAGCCATGGTTTTCTCTCGCAATTGCACCATTGTAGCACCATTATCAATGGCATTCTCCACTTGCTTGAGAAAGGTGGAACTCTCAGGGATCATAGACGAGTCCGTCACCAAGTATACGGAATAGTCCACCATAGCAAATTGTACTGTCGGGATCGATTTTTCACGGAATATATTCCAACGGTGAGCCGATCGCATTATGCGCTTATGAGTACACGCATAGTAACTGCACTGAAAAAGTTGAACCAGGGACAATATGAAGCCAATTGAAACAGAAAATCAAAGAAATATTGTCCAGTAGTGTCTAGTTTTTCCTCAATTGTATAGTTGCATTGTTTTCAATCTCTGCTTCCTCTCATCTCCTTCGCTGCATTCGTATAATATCCTCTCTGTCTCTCTTTATAGATACATTTTCACACTTCTTGATAGTTCCACTGACATGAATACACCTCATTATCACCTCTTTGTCTCCTAAACGATTGATAAGCGCTAGTACTGCTACAATCATATCTAGATGCTGTCGCCCACATCGTATGATACCAGTGGAAGTTTTCGGGCTGAAATACTTTACTACAAGCAGTATTCCCGCAGAACCAGCTCCAAAATCTCCATAATGGTCCTGTAGCACCTGTCGTATTACTTGTAACAAGTGTTTGGCAGAAATTTCATTGGACGAGACTTGATGAAGATGTAACAAAGCAGAGTCTCGGGACTCGGAATATGCTTCCCAGTGATCACTAGAAGGTGGAGAGAGAATGTCGAAGAGTATATATCGCTGTTTAATGCGTACCATCAGTAATGTGAGGAAGAGATTTGGTTCAAGTTATTTGTGAAGAATTGTGTAGGTGTATGGGTCTAGAATACAGTAATGTACATATTATATGGTCAAGTACTTTTCAATCAAATCACTGGCCAACTTGGAATTGCCATTGATATTGTAGATCAACGATAGATTGTACGCAGCCTCGACCAGCAAATCATAATTTTTATCGTCAATTTGTTTGTGCATCTTCAACACTTTCTCGTAAAACTCGACGGCTTCCGATAATAATCCCAACATGTGGAAAAGTCGTCCGAAGTTGTAGTTGATCTCCTGAACGTCGTAGACCGTGGAGCTTTTCTCCTTGAGCTGCTGGTACTCAAGTAGATAACTCAAACCTTGAAGTATTTGAATGTGTCTGTTAGTACTAAGCCTTTGCATAGCTCGATGTACATGTGCGAGTCCTAGCACTAAACACACCATTGGGTCCTGGTTATACTCCTTGTAGGCTCGGTTGAGGTAGACAATCGACGAAACGTAGCTTCGGGTGCCTCCAAGCAAATTTGCGTAGACGTAGAGCAATTCGAGGTGCTCTCTGGAGAAATTAGTACCGCTTAAATCTGCCGATATGGTAGCCATTCCAGTGATCTTTTTCTTGGTGATGATCGAGTCATATGTCTTCAACTGTCTCAAGAAGAATTTCTGATGGTTGTAGTTGGTGAATGTTTCCCAAGCTTCCACGCCTGACGAAAAGCAACACATGAAAAACTTGTAGATGTAGTGAGAGAACTGGTTAGCAGTCAAAAAGTATCGAACGTTTGTCATGACAGAGTTGCCGGAATCTCCACGAAGCACGCCAAATATCAACGAAACCATTTTGAGTGTCGTCTCTTTTGTCTTGTCCTGAATGAACACACTCACTTCCATAGCGACCTCAATTACCTGGCTCGCATCCTCGTAGTTCTTGTCATATTTGGCTAGAAGAATAGCATATTGCACAAATATCTTGAACCAGTCGTCATAACTAAGTCCGCGATATTCTGTGGTAGACGTCAAAAACAGCCGTGCATAACTCTCGTCGCTCACAATCCCGTCATAGAGGTTGTACACCCTAGCCAATTTCTCGTCAAGTCCCATCTGCTTCTTGCGCCTGTACAACACAATACCTTTGAAGGCACGATTTTTGTCTCTAGGGAAGAAACTGCGCACATTGACAAACATCTCCACCAACTGAGACGCCAATTGAATCCATGCTGCTATCGCAACTTCATCATTGGCGGCTTCAAGCCGTTGCATTCTGCGATACTTTTCCAAAACCTTTCTCTTGGCGCTGTCTTCTAACTCCATCTTTTCTTCGTCGCTCAACTTGGCACTGCGACTGGTCCTCATGAGCTGCTTGCTCTTAATGAGGGAAAGATTTTCCTCGACATCCACTTCCATGGGCTCGGTATTGGAGTCCTCGGGAGCTTTCTGGAGCACCCCAGTATCTCGGACTGTAGATACGTCCCTAAGAAGCTGTAAGGATTCATCAACTTCACCCAAATGATAAAGAGCCTCGGCCAACGCTAGCTTGGCATCAATATTATCAGGGTCAGCAGATAACAGCGACCTATATGCCTGCATTGCCAGGCTGTAGTCACCTATTTCAAGGTAACATTTACCCAATAGACTCACCACTTTTGGTCCGTTTTCGTCAGCCATTGATACGCGAGAGAGATACACCAAAGCGTCTTCATGGTACCCATGAGCTTCTAAGATCTTTCCGGCTTCGAAGAAAAGATCGGCAATATCATCTTGTTCATCCAAGAGAAACTCAAAATGCCGGAGCGCCTCTTCCTTTTGTTCGAGTCCCAACCGCAAATACCCTATTTTGAACCGAATATCCACGGGGATGTCATATAGCTTCTGGCGAGCAATACTGCGCTGTGGTTCAGAAAGGGAATCAAGAATTGGAAAACGACGAGAATCAAATTCCGAATCATCGTCAACCTCATCCCACCATGTTTCAGCCGTACGATCCTGGATCCATCGGGCAACCAACTTGATGACCTTGATGCCGATACGCCACGAATGTTGCTGGATGTACAATTCGCAGAGGATGTTGAGTTCAGGCCAGCCAAACTTGGGAACCGAAAGTTTCTGTTTTGGCGCTGATTTCATATTCTGGTCCAAGATTCGCATGTACAAGTTAATGGCATCGTTGAGACGTTTCTGCTCGACATATACGCTGGCCAAGTTCTTGATGATTCCAGAGTCGGTGGGAAACGACCGGTGGACTTTCTGGAACCCTTCGAGTGCTCTTCCAAACTGGCCCTTTTCCTTGTACAAGAGAGCACGTTCCATGATATATTTGGGGGTTTTTGGTGTTGTCTGACTGTATGGCTCGGCCATAGCAGTAAATGGCTTGATCGATATGGCCCAATTCGTTACTCAATTCGGCCACACTAGCCCAGAAAGGACTGTTCCATGGATGTATGTTGGCGGCAAGAAGCCAGTAGTTACAGCACTCATTCAATTTCCCCTGGCGTTTAAATATCTCTCCCAATGCCTTGTAGGCACTGAAATTTTTGGCATCTTTTTTGATAACTTCAAGATAAAGATTTAGAGCCACTTGGTAGTCGTTGCGCACAAACGCCTCGTTTGCCTGGGAAAGTAGAATCCGTACTTCTGGGTCCAATTCTCGGTTATCTGACCGCATCATCTTGCGCTTCCAATATGATTTCGAAGAGCTCAGTTTTTTCTTGGTTCGAAAGTTTCCTGCGCTTCTCAACGCATCTCGGAAGTCGTAGTCGTCGTCAAGGTCATCTTCGATCTCTTCTCCCAGCATATACTCGTCAGAAGAAGAAAATAGTACAACCTGGTCATCCATGTCATCATCATTATCCTCATCAGAGGAAAGATGGAGATCGATATTGGGAATGTCATTGGCTATATCGTCTCCCTCAGGGTTCTCAAACACATTGGATGACGACATTAGTCTTCAAATGGATTTTGGAGCCGTTTGCAATCGTGGGTGTTTGTTGATATAAGTTATTCCTGCTTGCACTTTTCGCGCGGCTGTTTCGCACTCGATTGCAGCGCGCTGTTAACGAGTTGATCTACTGAGAACCATACAAAAAAAACACTTTTGCTCATGCATTACGTCTCATGGACACTTGTCTGGCTTGTAACATGGCTCGGGTTTGTATGTGGTGACCTTGGTTCGCTCGAATTTGAGGTCAGGGCTGCTTGGAAAAATACGCCGTTTCTGGCAAACTTGATCGAATCTGTAGCTGCCTACAATGAAACTTGGTACGAGTCTGCGGTGGCAGCTTACGCAGGATTCGGCGACGACGACGACGTGCAAGATTCATCAGAAGTATCAGACGAGGCGATATATCAAAGAATAATGGCACAATTGCCGGCGGAACTGAAAGATTTCATCAACTTTGATTCAGTTTATAAAATACATTCTCCTCGAATTGCCACCCATTATCACCAGTTTGAAGAAGAATACGGTGGAAACAACTTAAGCAAGCTTGAAAAAGCCTGTTCTACAGACTCATTTGGCGCAAAAGTGCCGTTTATCAACGGCCATCCTCACTCATTTCTTGTGTTCAACGATAAAATTTACTGCTCACCAGATGATATCTACGCCTTACAAACCCAAGACGCCTCCGACTACACACCACTCGAAATTGACCGTGTGATCGGATCACATACAAAGGCTCCAGTTGTGGTGCTATATGGTGTTCCTGGCTCTCCATCTACCCTCGCATTCTTGCGACACTTGATGGCGGATTCGCAAGCTGGAAAACTTAGGTTCGTGTGGAGATACTTACCTGCTACAAACATAGGCGATTTCATGGTTGGGTACGGCGTTCAACTTGAGCTTTCCAACCGTACGCTTCCAAAGCATAATGTTGATGAATTGTGCATGTCAGTCTTAGCTGAAAAATCGGCCAACGAACTGTACTACCACTTGAGAGACATACTACGTTCGCCGTTCTCAAAGCTTAACACAGCTGCTGAAAAATTGAGACAAGCATTTTACGACGCCAAAGATAAAAATGCCCGTTTGGGACTCACTAAGGCGTCAAATGGTATCTATATCAACGGAGCCATTATCCCCAAAGCTGAGCTTTCTGTTTATTCGCTTGTAGCAAAGATTAAGTCGGAACTAAGCAGAATGAAAAACTTAAAAAGTCTTGGTTTTACTACTACTCAAGCTCGAGCGTTACTTGAAAAGTTTGCCTTACTCTCGGCAGTCAAAGATGCCCAATACCGCAAAGGAAATACCATCATGGGTGGAAATGACAATCGCTTCCGCGTTTATCAGGATGACGGAGTAATCTTCTTCAATGATATTGAATCAGATAAGAATTATGTGGAGTATACCACCGATGCCCATGTGGCATACTTGGAGCAATCAAAGAGCCTCAGAGTTGGTCAAATTCCTGCTTTGAGGCAGAATGTACACGATTTGATATTCGCCGTTAATCCTAGTGATAGAAGACAACTTGAAGTGTTCTTTACGCTCGCAAAACTAATCTTAGACCGAGGTATACCCCAGCAAATCGGACTCTTACCTCTTATCACAAGCAAGACTGACGAAGCTGTTGCAAGAGCAGTTCATTTCTTGTTCAAAAAAGGTTCCCCACAAGAGGCTCTTGGCTTCCTTTACAAATGCCTTCAAGCTGAAAAGGGCAATGAAGAAATTGCTGAACTCGCTGGTACTATACCTGTGCCTCCCGAGTACCGTGCTCCTCTTTTCACTGAGTCTACTTTTCGTTATTCAATTGAGAAACCTTCTGTGGTCGTTAATGGTGTCATATACGAATTGCAATCCCCAGGGTGGCAGACTGCGATGGTAAACCAGCTTTCGCAGGATGTGATGGTTCTTAAACGTCATTTGGAAACTAACAGTCAGACCAACATGAAGCAGATTTTGTACGAAAATGCTTCTAAATTCAGAAACTTGCGCATATCTCCACAAGATCCATCCAGTATCATCTATAAGGAAATCACCGCCGATCTTGTGCTGCATGCAACAACGCTCAAGATGAAGGCTGAATCTTCAACCGAACTTCCAGGCACGATTTGGCTCATTGGTGACTATACAACTTCACGGGTTTTGGAACAATTGCATGTTCTCCTGAAATTCATCAAACGTGAAAAGCGGTTTCAGATAAACATGATTCATACTGGGACAAACGAAGATTTTCTAGAAGAAATGCTTTCAGGAACAAAGGATACTCAAAATCTTGATACAAAGGGCCACAAAATTCTTCTTGAAAATATCATGAAATTGATACCAACTGCGTCGTCTCACAGTACCGTCTGTAGTACCGCACAGCATTTATTGGAGAGAAATAACCTTCCGCTGGCATACCCCTACATTTTGTTCAACTCGAGGTTCTTTCGGCTTGATACAAAATTTGATTTGAAAGAAATCTCTCTTCTTGCTTCATACGACTCCAAACAGAGAATGAGCATCTTGAAAGACCTAGTCGGTGCCTACAAAGACATTTTTGACATGAAGTCTTTGATGGAGTTTGCTCCCAACGAACATAAAGAAGACTGGTTCGACTTACTTTCCTCCCTCGTCACCACTCTGTATTATAACTCGGAGTACATTACTTCTGGTGACGTTAACAGGTTTGACTTTTCAGGATTAGCGTATGACAATTCTGTTGTTCTTCAGAACGATGAAGATGAGGTAGAAATAGTTGTCATTGTTGATCCTATGGATTCCTATTCACGAAAATTGATAGAAACGGTTCATGCTGTGAAGGAATTCAAATCGGTTAGTATCAAGATTCTCATGCATACAACAGAGGAAGACACTGAAACGACAGATTGTGTCTACTCCTCCATCATTCCTAGTGCAAGTCCACAATTCAGTCAAACGGGGTTGTACATTAGTGAGAACTCAATTCATATAAGAGGACCGAAGAATGTGAGCACAAGTTTTACTATTGATGCGCCATATTCATGGCATGTAGTTCCACAGTTGAGCTCCAAAGATCTTGACATACAAAAGTTCAATCTTTCTGAAGAGAAATGGGCCATATATGAGCTCAAAAGCTTAGTTACTGACGGTTATGCTAAGGATATACTTACCGGTTTCAGCCCTTCTGGCGCAGTTTTGCAAATGGAGCAGACAAATTTCAAGCAAGATACAGCAGTGTTCGGTATTCTTGGTTACTTTCAGTTTCGAACACCTCCAGGTATATTTCACCTTAAGACAAAGTGCTTAGCGGATGCTGAAAACTGCTACGATTTACTTTCGGCTGGAAATGCTTTCAATGCTAGTCGCGAGATTGTCAATCTGGTAAAAATACCGGTCTTCTCATTGAACGGGCTTCAAATTACACCACGATTGCAGATCAGTGAAAAGAAGCAAGAGAAAACACAAGGGTCTAAATTGAACTTTTGGAGCAGTAAAGGTGTCGAAAACACAGGAGAGGATATTAACATTTTCACAATTGCAAGCGGTGAGCTATACGAGCATCTCTTATCCATCATGCTTGCATCTGCTACGTCTCATACAAAGAGACTGGTGAAATTATGGCTCTTGGAGGGTTTTCTCTCACCAAAATTTAGGCTGAATCTTCCAGCTCTAGCATCTAAATATGGATTCAGTTATGAGTTCATCTCCTACAAATGGCCCATCTGGTTACGTAGCCAACAACCGGTGCTGCGGACAGTTTGGGGTTACAAGATCTTATTTCTTGATGCGTTATTCCCACAAGATTTGAAAAGAGTTATCTTCATTGATGCTGACCAGGTTCTTCGAGCCGACTTGATGGAGCTTATGGAAACCGATTTGCAAGGTGCACCTTATGGATTTGTGCCAATGTGTGAATCCAAAGAAGAGATGAAAGGATATCAATTTTGGAAGCAGGGTTATTGGGCGCAAATGCTTCAAGATGACCTTAAATACCATATAAGTGCCTTATTTGTTGTGGATCTTGTGGAATTCAGGAAAAGGCGTGTTGGAGATAGACTCAGAGCTCATTATCAAAAGCTTTCATCAGATCCCAAGTCGCTTCTGAATCTTGACCAGGACTTGCCGAACAATCTTCAAAGAATCGTGCCTATCCATAGTCTTCCTCCAGAGTGGCTATGGTGTGATACCTGGTGTGCGAAAGAAGAACTTGGACGTGCCAAGGCCATTGACTTGTGCAACGATCCAACTTCTACTGAAGATAAAATTGTGCGAGCTAAAAGAGTGACTTCTGAATGGGACGACTACAATGAAGAAATCTCTCGCCTTTTAAGCGAAAGTAGCATGGAATATTGCCAAAAGCCAGGAGACTTGAAGGACCTGCAATTGACCTTGAAAGACGACGGCTCGGTCGAGGCAGATGACTCTGACTACTTCCATGATGAGCTATGAGCCTTGCAACCGATATACTGCATATGGCCCGGCGCGGCCGCCGCTACCGGCCACTTCACCGAACCGCAGAGATCAGGACTGCACACATCGCTGACTCACTCCCACGTGAAAAGTCAACGGTAGTTACGAAGTTTCAACTCTGATTTGTGTAGAAGCTGGGACCATGAGGATTTCTGAAAAATTGCAGCAGGCGCACAGCTGTGCAAATCCACCTCCTGCAACGTTTTCTTTTGAATTTTTTGTACCCAAGACGTCTCAAGGTGTTCAGAATTTGTACGATAGAATGGATCGGATGTACGATTTAAATCCAATTTTTATTGATATAACCTGGAATGCTGGTGGCCGTTCTTCCACATTGACAAATGAGATGGTATACACCGCTCAATCTACTTTGGGTTTGGGAAACATGTATGCATTTAACTTGCACCAACATGGAAGGTGGGATTGATTGACGAAGCCACTTTCCAAGGCTTATACCTTCAGGGTGTCAGATACATTTTTGGCATTGAGAGGAGATCCTCCGCTTGATGGCTCTGATTTCACGGGGTGATTTTCAAGTATG